CCCGTCCCTGGGCACCAAGCACGGACACCCGCCCCCACCCCGTTACCGCAACATCCCCTCTCGCCTCTTGTCACAAAGAATTGAAATCTATTAATGAGAGAACCGACCAGCCCCCTGTAATTTGGCCCATCAGTCCCATCCGGCCGCCGGCCAGCAGCGTGGAGTATTAATCTAGTCGTCGCCCCTGGTCCCGACGAGTTGTGATAAAAACGTCAAACAATTAGATTGCACCGGCCAACGGCGCCCGCCCCCTGAGGAGCGGCGGGGCGGGTGTGTCCCTGGAGTCGCCTGGACAAAGGTGAGGGCCGCGGGCTGCCTGAGGTCCCCCCGGGACCCCTCACTTCCACAGCCGCACTGCGGTCCAGCAAGCAGGCCGGCCTCGGGGACCCGCTATCGGGGGGGGGCAGGAGCCCAGGGGGGACGGGTCCCTGCAGGGCACCCCCACCCCCAGGAACCCTCTACGCAGGAGCCGCCCAGAGTCCCGGTTAGGACCCCAGTGTGCCCTGGGCGGGGGCGGGGCGGGGCGAGCCAGCTGGTGGGGGACAGGGCCCGCGCCCCGCGCCCGCCAGGGGCAGCGTCCTGGCCGCGCTGCTCGGCCTGCCCCTCCCGGGAACTGTGCCGCCGCCTTCTCCACCTTCTTCTTTCTCTTTCAGGGTGAAGACGTGTCGCAAATTGATTTCACTGTTGGAAATGGGATAATTAAGCAGGTTGTTTCCATCTTCATCATCGTCGTAATAAAACGAGAGGACAGGCGGGCGCGAGCTGCCGCTTCAGCCGGCGCGGGGGCGTTAATCGCACACAGACGGCCGTCCGTGCGGCCGCGGGGCCATATTTCAGGGATATGGGATAATGATGCAGGTAAATCACTTTTACAAGATATAAAATTACTGGCTCCTCTAGAAAGATCATTAAGGAAAACAATTGCTCACAGCAATTGAAAATAGAGTTTTAATTATTTAATACAGAAGTTAAACTATTAGAGACCAGTGTTGGATGAGGGAACTTAATAGAAATTTATATACAAGGGTCTGTGAACATTTTAGTTTATTAACCCACCTAATTTCTTCCTCCAAATCAATCTGAAGCCTGTTTGAGCTGTGCCGCGAGCTCGGTCAGGGCTCGCGGGAGGCCCGGCGGCCCCCAGGCGAGCAGGGGCGTCGCTGGCGTTGCCGGGGAGGGACCCCGGGGCCACAGCACCACGTGCGGAGGCCGGGCCTCAGCCGGGCCGGGGTCTGGGTGGGGCAGAGCCCACAGCACCGCCCCCCCCCCGCCCGCCCTGAGGAGCAGCCCGAGGGCCGGTGTGCGTGGGGCCTGCTGGAGGGGGGGTCCTTGACAGGAGGACCCTGATTTTTGAATCTCGAAATGGGAAATTTCCAGCACGTTGAGTGGAGCTGCGGGGACCTGTCCAGACGCCACCGGAGCTCGTGCGTCAGAACACAAAGGAAAGAAATCCTTCAAACACTGACCTTCGCTGTCGGCTGAGAGGCCTTTATTTTCCAAATTTCCTTTTTCTTTTTTCTTAAAGATTTATTTATTTTTAGAAGAAACATCAGTCTGTTGCCTTGCACGCGCCCCCTGCTGGGGACCTGGCCCGCGACCGAGGCAGGTGCCCTGACCCGGAATGAACCGGTGACCTTTTGGTTCACAGGCCAGTGCTCGGTCCACTGAGCCACACCAGCCAGAGCTATTTTCCAAATTTTGTACAGTAAAAACATAGTGTTAAAAACACTATTTTTAAAAAAAATAATGGATGATTCTTTTTTTAAGAGATTTTATGTTTAGAGAGAGGGGAAGGGAGGGAGAAAGAGAGGGAGAGGAACATCCCTGTGTGGTGGCCTCTTGCTTCCCCCACACGGGGGACCTGGCTCGCGACCCAGACCTGTGACCTGACTGGGAATTGAACCGGTGACCCTTGGGTTTGCAGGCCAGCGCTCAGTCCACCGAGCCGCACCAGCCGGGGCCTATTTTTAAGACATGGACGTCACTGTTTTCAAGATGATTAAGAAAACAAGTCAAACTTTCAAAAGGTGCTTGGTGGTGAGACACCGCCAGCCAGGGTGGGGGGTCGGGGCGCGGGACCCTCGCTGCGGACAGGGCGCCTCGCGCACACGGGGCTGTGTGTCGAGGAGCTGAGCGGGGCCAGGCCCCAGCGCTGGGCAGTCCCAGGCCAGAGAGGATGAAGCTCGGGGTCACAGAGCCCGGCCAGAGCTCAGCGGGGACCGGAGGGACTGCGCCCCTCCCAGCCGCCGGCACGGGCCCCGCCTGCAGCCTCCGTGGGACGCGTCCTGAACCCGCAGGCCCAGTTGCCTTGCCTCCGGGCGCCGTCCGCCGCGCGAACCACATCTGTCCCTGTTATTACCAATAAATCCGAAGTGATCTTTCTTCTCCTTACAGTTTTTAGGGTTACATAAATTTCACCCACGTAATTTTTTCACGCTTGGATCTATTACAGAAAGCCACTTCTGTTGTAGAAGTTAATTGATAATGTGATTTGTTATGTTGCCGGGACATAATTCAGAAAGTTATTTTAGCGCCTCCGAGACGTGAAACCGCGCTCACGTGCGGAGGCACCGGGCGGCGGGCGGCGCAATGAAATATCTCCCGAAGCTTTTACCCCCGGGGCCTGGGCGCCTGCCAGCACCGCGCCGTGGGAGGGCCCGTATTTCCAGCGCCGCTCCGATCTCAATTTATTCCTGGCCATTAGTTAACTTAAAAAAAACACTGGAAAACTGTGTATGTACACCCTGCCCCCCTTCGAAAAGGGGGGAAATATCAAACAAAAAAAGAGGGAATCTCCACCTTTCACTATTATCCGAGATGAGCTTTAAAAACCTTCTTTTCATGGAATTAATCAGGGACTCACAGGAAGGTGCACGAGCAGGGCAGGGAACCCTTCACGCCGCCCCCCGCCCCCCGGCCACCCCTGGGTGCAGGCGTGTGCGCACACCTCTGTGTGCGTAGGCGTGTGCGCGTGCGCGTGCGTGTGTGTGTGTGTGTGTGCGGGCAGCGCCGTGAAATGTCCTCTCCTGTACCGACCTGTGTCACTGTGCAGCCAGCAGACAGAACCGGCGGCCGCCCCAGGGCGCCCCCGGCCCGGCCTCCGCCCCCACGGCCTCCCCCGACGGCTTCCGCCGGCAGGTCGCCCCCCAGCACGGCGCCCCTGTGGCCCACGGGTGCCAGCTGCACGGCCGTTCCTTGGGACTCCCGGACAGGGTGCGGTGGGCGCGGGCCGTCTCCAGCGTTTCGCTACAACAAGATAAAGCTGCTACAAACATGTACGCACATGACCGTGTGAACACACGTGTCCACTTTCCCGGGGTCAAAGCCGGGCACGCGGTGGCCAGGTCGCGCACCCACCGCAGCTTCCCAGAGGGCTCGGCGCCCGCCTCACGCCCACCGGCCGGCCCGGGAGCCTGCTTCCCACGGCCGCACCAGCCCCCGGCGCGGTCCCGGCTTCCGCGCCGGCAGACACGGTAGCGCCTTCTCACCGGGTCTCAACCGGTGCTCGTCCCCTGCTCGACTCACAGGCCCGAGTCCCGGTCCCTCTGCACGAAGGGCAGGGCAGCCCTGGCGCTGGGACCAGCCTGGCCGCTGGTGCCGGGCCACGAGGTCGTCGTGCACAGACGCGAGGTGACCAGGGGTCACTTGGCCTGGCAGCATCTGGCCCTTGGGTGGCCATCAGGGGCTCAGAGGCCCGGGACGTCTCCTGCGCGGCAGGCAGGGGACAAGGCTCTGCCTGGGGACGCGACTTGTGCTCAGAAGCCGCGGACGGCGCTGGACCGCACCCGGCGCCCCTGGAAGGGGGCGCCCTTCAGCCCTCCAGTCCTGGCGACGACCATACCGCCAGGACCGGGGCAGCGGTCAGCAGGCAGGACAGGCGCCTCCCCGGGGTCCCTGGTGCCGTCGACCCTGCATGTGCACCATTTCCAGTCCCTTATTCAGGGGAGACGAGGTCCCGGCCGCTTGTCCGCTTGCTGGCTCTTCCTGCCCGGGCCCAGCCTGCACCCCCGGCTCCTCCCCTACACGGGTCCCTTCAGCACCCACGGGACCTGCCGTGGGGCTGGGGACACAGGGCTGGCCAGTCCAGGGCCGGCCGTTCGGCCCGGAGGCGTTTGGGGAGAGCGGGCGCCCCACTGGATCCCGCCGGCCCCACAGACACCAGGTCCCCCTGGCACGTGCCGAGGTCGGGGGCCGGCGCGGGGGCCAGAGGGGTGGGCGCTGGCCCGGCTGGCCTCTGCGCCGCCGATTCCCCCGTCGCCGCCCCTGGCACTGAGGACGCACGGGTGGACAGAGAAGCGGAGCCAGGTGTCCGTGTGCCCTGCAGTGCATGTCACGCAGGGTGGCTCCGCCGCCCCGAGCGTCTCGTTTCAGGTCCCAGCTGAAGACACAGCCCCACCCAGACCCCGTGGGGGCTGGGGACAGGGCCTCTATCCCCTTGGGGACCAGCCCTGCAGCCGCCTCCCATGGCCAGTGGGAGCCGTGGCGCCTGCACCCCTCAGAGGCCGGTCCCTCCCTCTGCAGGCGAGCCCCCGCGTGGGAAGCTGGGGAGGCCGGGGATCGGCTGCCATGGCCGAGCCCCGCCTCCAAGTCCTGAGGTGGGAGGGGCACCGGTGTCGCTGGGGCGCCCAGACCCACCCCGTCACCCCAACCTCTGGGCCCCAGGAACCACTCGAGGAGGCTGGGTGGGCGGGTCGTTTACTGAACCGCTTGCAGGGGACACAGGGGAGCCCTGGGACCCGGCACGTCCCCCCCCCCCCGCCCCGGGGCCAGGCCGCCCGGGCACGCCCGCTGCCGGGAGCGTGGGAGGCAGAGGCGGCTGCTCCTCCAGGCCCCGGGGGCAGGCGCGGCTCCACGCCCGGGCACAGGGCTGGGCGCTCACCCTGCCTGCCGGGCGTCCGCCGGGGGAGCCGCAGAGCAGGCAGAGCCCCGGGCGGGGCGTGGGGGGGCAGGAGGCCGCCGGCCGAGGGGCCCGGGTGGGGGCGCCGGGGGCGCGGACGGCGTCACAGAATGGCCAGGTGCGGCAGCCCGTACAGGACCAGGCCGAGGCTGAAGGAGGGCCAGTCGGCACCGCGCGGCGGCTGAGGCCGCAGCACCGGCCTGTCTTCGACGGTCTGCAGAGCCTCGTCTGAGGAGGGGACAGGGGCTCAGCGGGGGCAGGGTGCTCAGGGCCCCCCGAGGGCCACCCGCTGGGGAGGACAGGAGGCCGCACTCCTGGCTCCTCCTCCGGACCCCACCGCGGGCAGGTGCCCCCGCGTCCTTCGCAGATGGGGACCCTGAGGCCGAGGACGTCTGAGCTCCGGGCCTCCTCCTGCCGCCGGCCAGCTGCACCCCAATCACGGAGGCCCCGCCTTGCGGCGGCACCCGCGTGCACCGCGGTGGACACAGGCGCCCCGCGGCCCCCTCTGCCCGCGGACTCGCCCCGCCGGCGGCTCTTCCACAGCAAAGCCCGAGGTTTCCCGGCTGTCCTGCCCCTGGCTTCTCTTCCCGGGACCCTGGAACCCGAGGCGCCCCACCCGCAGGGGACTCGGGCCCACTCGTGACTCCGTCACGTGCTCTCTGGGGCGCGTGCTCAGGTCTCTGGCTCCGAAGGGGCGGGGCCCCGCCCCCAGGACCCGCCCTGGGCTCTGAGAGTTCGTGTGGCCTGACTGGGTTTAAAGACAGACCAGCAGGTCTGCCGCCCGGTGCGTCCCCTGAGGAGCTGAGACACCGGCCTCCCTGTGGACCCCCATCCGCAGGAGACGGGGGACACGCCGACGCCACGGCCGCAGAGCGGCGGGCGCAGGGTGGCCGCGCGTGGCCGGAAGAGGCGCACGGGCAGGTGGACGGTCTCCGCTTACCGTATCCGGCCATTTCATCGGCCTCCATCCTCTGAAGGAGGCGGACAGCCCTCCCGACCGGCTTCCCGCCTGGCAGCAGATCTGCGAGGAAACCCCACCTCAGGCGCACGCAGACCCCCGGGGGGCTTCCGGAGGCCCCAGGGCGCGGCCGGCCGGCGCCACTCACTCTCCCACAGGACGCGGGCCCGCAGCGCGTTGTCCCGCAGGGGCGTCCACCACTGGTTCGCCAGGACGCTGCGGACCCCCACCAGGCTCAGCAGGGCGGCGGTCTCGACGGGGTCCTCCAAGGACAGCTCGAGCGCACTGCCGGGGACAGGGCCCGTGGGACAGGGCCCTCCCCCCACGAAGCCCCAGCGGCGCCGGTGGCCCTTCCAATGCCCACCCCCGACGTCTGTGCCCCCCCCAGCAAAGGCGCTTCGGGGGTCTCTGCGCCCCTGCGCCTGCCACAAGGGGGCGCCGGAGCCGCCCACCGGGGCCTGGGGGTGCGCCTGCCTGGCACCCTCCGCGCTGCCGCCCGCTCCTAGGCAGCCCCCACGGCCGCAGGGACGGCAGGGAGGGCTGGGAGCGGACGATGGAGGAGGCCGGTCCCGCCTGGGCGCTGCCCGCAGCGTGCAGGGCCCTCTGCCCCCCTGCTCCCCGGGGGACCCATCCGTCACGCCTGAGCCCCAGGCCACTGGCCGGGCCGGGCAGGGACATCGGGCACCTCTTGCTCTCCAAGGCCTCCATCGTCCGCCGCGCGCTCTCGTGGGACCGGCTCCGGTCCAGCAGGACCATCAGCTGGCAGTCTGCAGGCCACGGGGGCGGGGTTCGGGCTGGCGTCACCGGGCACAGTGGGCCGCGGAGGTGCAGCCACCCTGCCCAAGGCCGGTTTCATCCGTGGGACCCTTCCTGGGGGCCGGTGGCCACACAGGCACTTTGGGATCCCCATGCCCTCCATACCCGGGTGTCTCAGGCACGAGGCCACAAGTGGGTCCCCTTGGTGCCCGGTGGCCACTGAAATGGGCCAGTGTCCACGGTGAGCCAGGGGTGGGCGTGCAGGGCGGCCACGCTCCCCACAGGGGCCTGGCTGGGCCGGGCCTTGGGGTCCCGGGGGGCAGGCGGCCCCTCCCGGCTGAGGCGCGCCTTGCAGCGCCCATGACCCGGCTCGTTCCGTGGGCTGTGCCGGCCGTCCCTCCTGAGAGCCTTGGGGTCAGTTCCCAAGAGGCCCTGCCTCTGCCTCCCAGGCGACACGCTCACGGGGGGCGGGAGGGCCCTGTCCTGTTTGGTGTCACAAATGGGGGGGCTGGAAAGGAGGCCGGGAGCAGGTGACCGCGGGACAAGTGTCCACGTGCTGCCATCGATGGGCACACGCACCTCGAAGGAGAGGGCCTCCTCGAGGGTCCCTGAACATGCCGCCAGCCCCCTGCACGGTGCGCTGGGGTGGGGGGCGCCTGGCAGCCTCCTCTCTGGCGGGAAGGTCAGCCGGGGGGGCCGGCGGGGGGGTGGCGACCAGCACCCATGGGCGCGGCCCCGCCTCCCTGGCCCCCGCAGGCCGAGGGGGAGGGCCACCTGGACAGCGGCCACGGCCGGAAGTCTGCCCGGAGCGTCCGGGAGACCGGGGCGGGCGAGGGGCTGCCCCGAGGCCCTGCTGCGCCCATGCCAGACAGCGGGCTCCTGAGGGGGACCCCAGCCTCGGGGCGGGGCGGCGACCGAGCGGACCGCTCACCTCCGAGGTTCATGGCCGCCACCCTCTCCACCAGCAGGTGCGACAGGAAGCTCTCCAGCCCGTAGAAGAAGAAGCCTTCGCAGCTGCCCAGGACCTGCTCCCACTGCGCCTGGCTGCCCGTTGGGGGTGGGGGCTCAGGGGCGGGGCCACCAGGGAGGCGCAGGCGCCCCCGCAGGTGGCCGGCCGAGTCTGCCCTGGCGGCCCCCGGGCGGCACACGCCCAGGACATGCTCTTGGAGCGGAGGTGTCCTGCGCCGGCCGCGAGCACCCTCCCTGGCCCGTGTGGCGTCTCCCGCGTGTGACGCGGGGCCTGTCCCGCTGGCTGAGGCCCTGGAGCGAGCCGGCAGGACACGCCCCCGCCCAGGCACGCCCAGCCGCGGCCCCTGTGCGGCGCGGACCAGGGCAGGGGCTCCCCGGCCGGGGCGGCCCCAGGGCAGAGCGGGGTTCAGGCGGGAGGGCGCCGGAGGCCGAGACGGGGGGGAGGCTGGCGGGGACGGGGGACGGCAGCCCCCGTGTGGGGAGCACCCACGACCGCCACGCGTGACCCCTCAGGACGGCCTGGCGCACCTGGGGAAGGGCCTTTTGCCCAGGTGCCCTGCCCATCGCGCGGTGAATGTGTCCTTGAACTTCTCCAGGGTCTCCCGGGTTACGGAGACCGGAGTCAGCGTCTCTGCGGGAGGAGGGGAGAGGGGCTGACGTGGGGGCTGGGCCGGCGCCCGGCGCGTGGCACCGTGGGGGCAGCACCAGTCACTGCCGAGGAAACGCTGGCCACGCCCGCCCCTGGGGCGGGGGGGGGGGGGAGACGCACAGAACCCTGGGGCGGGACCCCTGAGCGCAGCGCCTGTGGCCGGATGTGGCCGCGGGCGGGGCGGGGAGGGCAGAGGGGGCGCGGGCCCGCGCACCTGCTTGGTGGGTGTGGCTGTGCTCACCTGGGCCCCTGGCCTCCTCGTAGGGGTCCACGATGACTGGGCCTGGGTCAAGGAGCACCGGGACCACGGGCTTGGGTCGGGGGCGGCGGGCGGGGCCCGCAAAGGATACACTTGAAATTATCCGAGTCAACTGTGATGCAGTCCGCGGCGATGACCCGGGGCGCGCCGGCCTGCGAGAGCGGATGGCCGCCGGGCGTGAGCCTCTCTGCGGCCCCGGCCCCGCCCCCGCCCCCGCACGGGCCGCACACTCCCACCTTCTGGCCCCTCTTGGCCGGGCCTCGCTTCTTGAGCTCTTTGCCTTTGCTGTCCTTCGCCCTGGTCGCGTCTGTGGGAGACAATGAGGACAGGCGGCGCCGCGGCCTGAGACAGAGGGCGCGCGCTGTCCCCTTAGAAGCGGTTGGTCTGGCGTTCTGTGGACTCCACCTCAGTGAGAAACCAAGAAGCGGGGAGAACCGTTTGTTTTAAGTTTCCAAAAGTTGAAACCACAGTAGTATCTCAATTGTGAAGGCTCATAGGCCGGGAAGGGCCCGGGGACCTCATGAGGGGACAGTCGCCAGGGCCCCAGGCCCACCCGCCAACCCGCCACACCGCGCGCGGCACCCACCGGGGTGCCGAGCCGGCCGCCCTGCAGGCCCCCCCGGCCCCCACAAGGCCGCGCCTCCCCCGGGCCGGAAGCCCTTGACCCCTTGACCGGGTCCCGCCTGCTTCCCCTTCTGCTGGTGGCCCACATGCCCACGGGGCCCCTCCTCTGCTTTCTCTACGGTTTTCTGTTCTCGCTCCAGCTCCTTGAAGGAGACGCCGACTTCCAAGCCTCTGGCCGCTTCCTTTCCCAACACGAGGCCCTTCCACAGGGGGCCCCTGGGGGGGGGGGGCGCACGGAGGCAGCACCGCGGGAGGCCGGACCCGCGGCCTCTCTTTTCTGTCCTCGATTTAACCCCGTGAGTGCCCTTTGACTTAAACGGGTTTCCTTGAGGCGCCGCGTCGGGGTCGTGCCCGCCGTCCACGCAGCGGGTCTTCGCCGGGAGCCGGGCTGGGGACCCGCCGCGCCGTGGGCTCCGTGCCTGCGTGCGTCCCGCCTCCGCTCCGCTCTCGCTTTGCCGCCTTTGCTGGGACGGTGTCTGCTGCCCTGGGCAGCTCTGCCCCTGGCTTGGGGGGTGCCCTCGCTCTCTGTACTGACCAGCTCCCTGCTGAAGACACGGGGGCCCTCTGCAGACCTCGGGACCTGCCCTGCAGACTCTCGTGGCGGTGGGTGCCCAGGCCCCCCCCGGGGGACGTGAGGCTCTGCCTGGCCCCTCCCCCAGGGATGGCGGTCCCCAGTGCCTGCTCTCCAACGTCTGGAAAGTATTACTCCGTGTATCTGGCCTGGGTTTCTCCTTGTTTCAAACCTGGTTCTTGTGGTTTCACCTTAGACGGCAGCAAAAGCCTGATGTGCTTACCCTTCTTCTACCCCTCACCCGGGAACACGCTTACGGACGTGGGAGGGGGAGGCGCCCGTCGGTTCCGGCCCAGCCTGGCGCGGGGCCTGCAGCCTTTTGCCACCCAGGGCGGCGCTCCGCCCGCGAGCACGGGCCCGGGCCGATCCACTTGTTTTCACTGTGACTTGGTGTCCGTCGACGGGCTGCGTTCACGCGGATACCCGCACCGCGCCCAGCGTGGAGACCCCGCTGCCGTCTGCGCACCCAGGCCCGCCGCGGAGCCTCGCCGCCCCGGCCCCGGGACCCAGTCTGCGAGGCCACAGCCCCCGGCAGAGCCCTGGGCGCCCCCCCAGCAGGCGCCCTGGAGGCGTCTTCCCGACGGCCGGGCCCTGACAGCAGCTCGCGAGCTGACGTCGCGGAAGCAAACAGCCCGGGTCCGCAGCGTCAGCCACGGCTCTCACCTGGCTCCTCCCGGTGCAGACGGCTGCACAGCATCTGCAGGGAGAAGTCCCGCGACACGGAGGAGGCCGGGCCCTCCCTGAGCACCGACAGGCCTTCCAGGGGCAGCTCCAGGAGCGGCCTGTCCACGAGGAGGACCACGCTGTCTGCGGCCTCGGGCTGGACTGCGGGTGGGAGACGCCGGCTCAGCCAGGGACGCGCCGCGGCGTGGCCCGCCCTGCGGTCACGCGTCATCGCAGACTGGCCCCCGGCCACGCCGGGCTCTCGGGCCGCTCGTGTGGGCGACACTGGATGGGAGGGTGTGGCTCACCCGGCACGGGGCATCGGGTCCTGGTGGCTCTGAGGACCGGCCCCGGCCTGGGGGGCCTCCCAGAGGCCGGCCCCGGAGCCCCCTTCACTGCGGACCTGTGGCCGCTCGAGCCACTCCTTCCCGAGGAGCCCACGGAGGGGTCACGGCCTCTGGGGACAGCCCCAAGAGGACCTTCCAGCAGGAGGGCTCCTCCCGGTGACCGGGGCCCTCAGAGGGCCCATCAGCCCTGCTTCCTGCTAGCGGACACCTGCTCCTCCAGGCTGCGCGGCAGGGCCCGGGGCCTCTGCACACCCGTGGCCTCAGGGGGCCCAGCCCTGGCGTCCGGGCCGGCCTGCGACCCACGCCCTGCCCGGCCTGCGACCCACGCCCTGCCCGGCCTGCGACCCACGCCCTGCCCTGCGGAGCCCTGCGTCCTGTCTGGTGCGCGGCGCCCGCAGGCACTCGGGCCCTCGGCTTGGAGCACTCAGCCCCCTTTTCGGGGTCGGAGCTCTTCTGACAGAGGGACCGCGTCTCCCTCCGCCCACCAAGCCTTCGCGGGGAGAAAAGCCAGTGAGCAAACCCCTTCAAAGAGCTGCTTCCAAGTCCGGCCCCGCACCCCCGCCCCGCCCCCGCCCCGCTGCTCCTGGCAGGGGGGCCAGGCCTCCGCCGCCACGCCCACAGCCACCGGCCACACACCGCGGAGGCGGCGGGCACACCCCTTCCGGGACCCTCCGAGGGGGTTCCAGGGCCTGTTTCTGACCTCCCGCCCCCCCCCCCCCGGCCCGCTGCTCACAGAGGTCGGGGTTGAGTCCCAGTCCAGCTTCTTCTCCATCAACCCACCAGGGAAGCCCCTGAGATCACATGACCTGGTGCCCCCCCACCCCGCTGCCTGCCGCGGCCACTCACCTGGGGGCGACAGGGACATCTTCCGCTCCTTGTCTTTGCCCTTTGGTTTCCCCAGATCCGTGGCGACCGTGGGAATCTGTATTCTGAATATCAAAGGCACATGCCCAGGTTTTAAAAATACATGAAGAGCACACGCAGCAGGAACCTCGCGTGCATTGCTGTGGGCCGTTTCTCCTCCACGCAGCGAGCGCCAGGGACCCTCCCCGGCCCTCGGCTGGAGACCAGCCTCCCGCCCCCCACCCCCACCCCCGCGCCAGCAAACAGGCTCCAGACCCGGCTGGGCCACGGGCCGGCCCAGGAGGTCCCAGGCTCGACCCCTCTGCCCGCTTTGCTGCCAGAAACACGTCCAAGGGCCAGCCCCCCGGCCTGGCTCCCCATCCCCCACCCCACCAGAGGGGGCATGAGAGGTGGAGGTCCAGAAAGGTTCCGCAGAAGCCGACTTCCTGACGGCGGACAGACGGACGGAGCCAGGCGCTCAGAGGTGCAGGGGCCTGGCAGAGCACGGGGTGCGAGCGGAGGCAGGAACAAGGGCAGAGGGCAACGCTGTGCCCCCGCAACCCGCCCCTGCCAGCCACTCGGCTCCACGGGGCTGCCGAGCCCGGCCCTCAGGCACCACAGCCAGCCGGCACGCGACCTGGCCTCAGAGCCTCTGAGCAGCGGGAACAGCGGGCGCAGGTACTCCTCGGTGGCCTTCAGGACGTCGCCGAGTCTCGGGGGAGGGCACCCCTGCCTCTCGGGGTGTGTGTGTCTTGCTTCCTGTCCCACCGAGAGAGCCCACGATTGGAGGGTGCCAGGGGCCCCCACGGGATGCACTGGTTAGGGCAGAGGAGCCGGGTCCCCCCGCACGGGGGCCCCCAGGGGAAGGCCGCTCCCGGAAACAGCCTGGTGGCCAGGCCTCGCTCGGCAGCATGGGGGGCCCCTTGCAGCCACCCGCCTGCCCTGTCCAGCAGGGAGGCCGGCCTGAGCCTGGGGTCCCGATGGCTCGTGCCCCTCGCCCGCTGTGGGCACCCCTGCCCAGCCCTCCCCGCCCCGGTCCCCCCGACCAGCTGGCTGGGGCCTGGAGTCTCACTGGGCCGGGGCTCGGGGGCGCGGCCTCGCAGCACGCCGCTGCCTGTGTCTGCTCCCGGAACCGCTGGGCGCTGGCCAACAGGCCGGAGAAGGCGGCTGGGCTCACGGTCACCCGGGCCACCTTGCAGGAGCCTGCGGATCAGACCCCACCGATGTTCCACAGGCGGCCGCGCAGACCCGCCCTGGTGCGCGGGCCTCGGGGTTCTCGGGCAAGCGGCGGGCACAGGGCTGCTCCCCGAGGAGCACCCACCCGCAGGGGCCTCGGAGCCTGGCCAGCCCCGGGTCGGGGGCGGCCAGCCCCACCGGGCGGGAGGGTGGGCCTCCAGGGCAGGGGTCCCCAGGGGCTGGGAAAGAAGGGAAAACGGAAACGAGGCATTTAAAATGGGCCCAGGCTGCAGGCGTGGCACGAGCTCAGGGCAGCCAGGCGAGTCCTCTGGGACCGGGGGCTGCCCCAGGGTTTGGTCCTGGCCCTGGACAGAGGCCGTGGTCCCTTGGGGTGAGTTTCAGGGCCGTGCGAATGGCCTGAGGTCCTGAGCAAACAGCAGGGCTGGAGCGCGAGCGTTTCCGCAGCGGCGGGTGAGGTGCCGGCTGAGTTAGGAGCCTGAGCGTGAGGGAGAGCGGGTGCCTGCTGGCGGGCGCAGCGGGTTCCGCCAGCCGACAGGCTGCAGGGCGGGGACCTGGGTCTCTAGGCCAGGGGCGCGCCCTGCGCCCAGGATGCTGCGGGACAGGGGCCTGACGCTGGGAACTCACCGCCCACTTGGGCCACCTTCCCTTTGGTGGGGACGAGCCTGGGCGTCTCGTAGGCAGCACCGTACAGGTGGGTCCTGAGGGGAGGAGGCAGGACGCAGGGCAGGCTGAGGCCCAGCTCGTGGGGCACGTGCGCCCCCAAGATGCAGATTCTGTGAGGCGCGGACGCCCCCCGCAGGAGCCCCCCCCCCCACCAGCACGTGGCTGCTCAAGGCAGAGCTGAAGCCGGGGTCTGTGCGCACAGGGCCCCGCACAGCGCACCATCCGCGCAGGGGAGGAGGCTGGGTGGGCCGCCCCCGCTCCAGAGAAGCGCATGGGTCTGCGCCACAGGGACAGCGGCCCTCCGCCGCGGCCCCCAGGGTCCCCCGCAGACAGGAGGGGGCACAGGGCACCCCCATGCTGCTGTGCGGGGAACAGGCCTCACCTGTCAGGCGAGTGGTGCAGAAAGAGGACCCGAAAGGTGGGAGGAACCTCACTCAAGAGGTTAAAATGTTGCTCTGTCACCTGGAGATTCTGCCAAGCCTGAGTGACAAACGGATCCACGGACCCACGCAGGGTGAGGGGCGGGTCGCGCAGGGTGAGCAGTCGAGGGCGGGGCTTGCAGGACGCGCGGCCGCCGCACGGGGGCAGCAGAGCGCGCGGAATTCCGGGGTCCCGAACCGCAGCGCGACGCTCACGGGCGGGCGCCCCAGTCTCCGTGCCCCGCCCGCCGGCCCGCGCGCGCAAGCACGGCCTGGAGGCTCGCCCCTAGGCCCTGGCTCCCGGGGCCCGCGGCCTCCAGCGGCTGCGGTCCAGCCTGCGCCCGTCCCCCGCGGCCCCGGGCGCAGACAGGGGTCCCTCCCTCTCCGCGGGCCCCACCCCCCGGCCGCCCCGAGAAAGCCGGCTCCCGCTCCCCGGTCAGAGGAGCTTGGAGTTGACAGCGCGCGCCGGGCTTGGAGAGCGCCGCGGCTTGCTCACCTTGGAGACGGCGGCCAGCCGCTGCTCCACGCCGGCGAGCAGGCGGGCGGAGGTGTGCTCCCGGAGCCGCAGCCCGCGCTCGAGCTGCAGCAGGGCCGCGGGCTGCGAGCCGCCGGTGTTGGCTGTGGCCGCGAGCAGCACGCCCCGCATCGTCTCCGCTGCACAGCAGCTCTGGAAGAGGCGCGGGCGGGTCCCCGGGGCGTGGGTGAGATGGGCTGGTGCTCAGCGGCCCCCCCGGGCTTGCCCCACCTTCTTCCAGGGACCCGCGGCCCCGGCGGGGGTTCCCGGGCCCGGGGGCCCCGCCCTGTCCGGGGCACCCGCGGTGTAGAGCGTACCTGCGACAGCGCCAGGAACTGGCAGGCGGCCTCGGGGTCGCGCGCGCCAACGCACTCCGCCGCCTGCAGGCTGGTGGCCGCCGCCACCTGCAGGAGCCCGCAGCCCAGGGCGGCCTGCAGGCCCTGAAGCAGCACCTCCGACGCCTGGGCCAGGTACCGCCGGGCCAGCGCCCTCCTTCTCTGCGGGCAGGCGGGCGGGCTCAGGTGGGCGCCAGGCCGGGCCGGGCCGGGCCGGGCCGGGAGGGGCGGGGCGGGCCGGGAGGGGCGGGGCGGACGGGTGAGCGGTACCTTCAGGTCGGAGCCCTTCCGGCTGCGCTCCTGGTCGCCGGGAGGCGCCCTGCGGGCCCGCTGGCTGCCACCTCGCTGCTCCCCGGCTCCGTCCTCCCGGTGGATCTTGACGCCGCCGGGCTCTGCCCCCGCCTGGGGACACACCGCCAGTCAGTGGCCTTGGCCAGGGTGCAGGCGCCCAGCCCAGGAGGCCTGTGGGTAGGTGTCCGGCTGTGGCGCCCCGAGCTCCTTTCCTTCAGTCCCGAAAAGCTAAGCCTCTGGGCCTCTGCGCGCTGCAGCACCGTGCAGGGTTGCAGGGAGCGATCGACTCGGGCCTGTCTGCCCCGGGCCGGGGGCTGAGGCGGGGCTGGGGACCCTCGGGTCAGGGCAGGGAGGGGCAGGCGGGGAAGGGCTGGGCCGGCCCCCTGGGGGGCAGCGCGAGGTCCACGACAGCCCCTCGCAGGAGGGCGGTGTGAGTGCCGCGGGCGGCCACCCCCACCTGCCTGGGGCCTCTTGCCCCTGCGGCCCCTGCTCTGTAAAGGGGCGGTGGCCGCGCAGCCCGCCCTCAATGACCCGCCTCTCCTCCTGGCCCGTCCTGCCGGGGGTGCTGCCTCCCCCCAGCTCTGGCCTGCGGCCCTTCCTCCCCGGGGGAGCCTGAGGCCGCGCTCACGGGCTGGTTCTGAGAGACGCGATGCTGCCCTTGTTTAAGCCCAGGCGATGGCCTCGCAAGAGGCAGGGCACGTACCGGGGGGCCCTCCTCCCAGCAGGAGGCGGGGGGCACCGGGTCCGTCCGCAGGGCCAGCAGGCGCAGGGCCTTCCCCGCCAGGCCCAGCAGCCGCGCGCGGGTCTCCGCGCGGCCGGCGCTCAGCGGCTGCAGGCTCTCGAGCTGGGCCAGCGCCGTGTGGGGCAGCGTCCGCTGCAGCGCCCGCCATTTCTTCAACACAGACCGCGGGCGTCACTGCCCCGCCCTCGGAGCCCAACGGCCCCCCTGGCCCCGGGTCCGCCCTCCCAGCCCTGGGGTGGGGGCCTGGGACCGTCTGAGAAGTGCCCCTGCGGAGGGGGGTCACTGGAGTTTGCGTCTGTGGCCTCAACGGAGGGCTCCAGGACGCACGCGAGCTCGTGTACGGCTCCCTGTTGGGACGGTCTGATCCGCCTACCGTCAGGTTGACGCGATGCGTCGCGAAGTCTAAAAATGCCTGAAGTGGCAGAACGTGCCCTTCGAAGCAAATATTTTGCACATTCAACTCTTTTTTTAATCCAACGTGAGTCGCCGTATGGACTTTTTCATGCGCTGACGTAACTGCCAGCGCAAGCTCAGGACGTGGGGGAAGGGCTGCCCTGTGCTGGGGGACAGCCCCGTGTGACCTGGTTTCGCGAGCCCATCAGCCTCAGACGATCGGGTGAGGCCCTTCCTCAGCAGGGCCTAGACCCCCGCCAGCGGCGGGGGAGGCAGCAGGGCCGCAGGAGGAGGGGGCCTGCAGGGCCCGCGGGGGTCCCCGGGGCAGAGATCTGGGGGGCGTGCCTGTGAACGCGGCCCCGGACTGGCTGGCGGAGGCCGGGGCGCCCCAGGATGGTGCGGAGCCAAGAGCCCCTGGGCCGAGCCCCGCCCGTGCCCCCCCCGCCCCCGTTACCAGGCCAGCGGAGGAGTCGGCGCTGGAGCTGTGCAGGTCGTCGGCCAGCAGCTCGTCCCAGGGGTGCTGCCCCGGCCGCGGGCCCAGCGGCCCCCCCCAGGCGAGCTGCAGTGTGTCCAGGGCCACCTCCACCAGGCTCAGCTTGAGGCGCGCCAGCTTCCTCATCAGAGGCGTGTTCACGTTCTGCACCTGACACGTGAGGGGGCGCAGTCAGAGCCCGGAAGGTTCTGGGGAGGCTCAGCGTCCCCTTGAATCGGCCCTGGAGAGGCGGCATCGACCTCTCGCTGTGTCCTGACGTGCAGCGCGGCAATGCCGCAGAGCCGCCGCCCTGGTGGAAACGATGGGTGTTCCCTGCCGTCCCTTCATGCTCCCTCCCTCCCACCGCCTCCGGAAGGTCCCCCTTCTGGCAGGGTGCTTGAGTTTGCGCTTCCAGGAGGTTCTGGAAACGGCCCCCGGGGCACGGGCTTCCTGTGCCTGGTTCATCTCGCTTGGTGGCGGCACGAGGTCGTTCTCTCCGCCGTGTGGACGGACCACGCCGTGTGTCCACTCAGTTCGGGCATCATGGATGCCCTCCGTGAACACACGTCGGTGTGGGGACATGTGCCTTCCTCTTTCTGGGGCAAATTCCAGGGACAGGGCGGCCAGAGGGGGTGGCGGGCCACTTGGTTTTCCGAAGTAGCGGTGGCATTTTACTTCCAAAGTCACCGTGCAGGTGTGCCTGCTTGTGTTACCCTTGGAATCTGCATCTCTCTGATTCACTAACAGAGCCTGTGATCTCTTCACCCAACTGTTTACCTTCCATGTGTGTTTTTTTTTTAGAGAAATGTCCGTTCAAACACTATGCCCATTTTTATCGGGCCGTTTGTTGTCTCTGAGGTTGTCAGGCCTGTCCGTGTTTCCTGTGGGCAAGGCCTTTGTCAGGGAGACGCTTCTCCCAGCCTGCGCCTCGCCCGCGTCCTCACGATGCCGTCCTGACGGGCAGTGGCCCGTTCACCTGTTTATCCTCCTGTGGACTTGCTTTCGGCGTCGTGTCTAAGAAACCTCTGCTAAACCTACGGTTGCAAAGGTCTTTCCCTATGTTTTCTTCCAGAAGTTTTATAGTTTTAACTCTTACCTTTATAGGTCCACGGTTCATTTCATGTTGGTTTTTGCAGGTGGCGTGGCTGTGAATCCGTTTGCCTCTCGGACACACAGTTGTTCCAGCGCCATCGGTCGCAGGCCAGCCTTTCTTCCCCGAACGGCCCTGCGTCGCTGTTGAAAATCAGTTTTCTGTCCACATGTGGGCCTATGTCTGGGTCCTCTGTTATGTTCCATTGGTCTGTGTGTCTAATTTCACACTAAAATCACAGCCTCTTGATTCCTGTAGTTTTGTAACAGGTCTGAAAACCACGCAGTGTTGGGCTTCCAACATGGTCTTTCTCTTTCAAGGTCGTGTTGCCCTGCAATTCCACGTACATTTCAAAACGATCGCGTCGGCTGCTCTAGAAACGCCCGCCCTTGTTTCGGGAAGGGTGGCAGGCAACTACGGAAGGAGTGGCATCTGGATACGATCAAATCGTGTGACCCACGAGCTTGATACACCTTGCTGTTTACTCAGGTCTCTTAACTGTTCCTCACAATGCTCCGTGGGCCCTGACCGGTGGGGCTCGGGCCGGGCGTCGTCCTGCAGAACGGAAGGTCGCCGGTTCGACTCCCGGTCAGGCACACGCCTGGGTTGCGGGTTCAGTCCCAGGCTGGGGCGCGTGTGAGAGGCAGCCTATCGCTGTTTCTCGCGCATTGATGTTTCCCTCTCCTTCTCCCTCCCTTCCTCTCTCTCTAAAAATAAATAAATATTAACGAACAAGTGTTTTGTGGTTCTCAGGGTACAAGGTTTCATGTTTTTGTCAAACTTCATTTTTAGGCTGTCATAAGTGGTATTTTCTTTAAATATTTAATGTCTGGTCGTTTGTAGTAGAGACACAGAATTAACACTTGCATAGAGTTCTTATATCCTGTGAACTTACTATAAACTCCCTGGTTAGTACTCGTGGCTTTGTTATGCTTTTTTGGTAGATGGCGTAGGATTTTCTACATTGAAGGTCACGTTATCTGTGAACAAAGACTGCACATCTTTTTTCCAAATTGGGTGCTTGTGACCTCCTCTCCTCGCCCCCTGAGCTGGCTGGGACACGCTGGCGCCCAGACGCTCCCTGCACAGACGCGGCGCACGGTCGCCCGGCCACAGGCCTTAACCAGGGGAGGGCCCCCGGTCTGTCCCCGCGCCGCACGAGGTCGGCTCTGGCTCTCGCCTTGGATGCCCTTCACCGGGGCGAGGGAGTTTCCTCCTGTTAATAGTTTGCTGAGAGTCCTCTTTTTAAAATTGGGAACAGGGGTTGCAGTTTATCAAATGCTTTCTCTGACTGAGATGACATGTGAATTTGTTTAAATGTGGGGAACCAAACCGGTCAACGTGTGAGCGTCCAGCTGCTCCTGGGCAGCCCGGCTCGGCGTGGACGCACCGCACGTTTCCTGTACAATGAGGTTTCGTTTGCCGAAACTCCGCCTGGAATTCTGCGTCCGCGTTTGTGAGGAAAAGGGCCTGCCAGCTCTGCTCCGGAGCCGGGCGGCACAGGCGTGGTGCAGCCGGCCGTGCCCCGTCCGCCTGGAGCCTCCGGACCAGCCGGGGCCGCGCTCGTCTGCCTGTGCCCTGCACAGCGGGGCCTCGCTCAGCGCGGGAGGGAGGCCCGCCTTCGGGGGAAGGCCCGTACCTGCGAGCTCCGCTTCTCCCGCGCAGAGGGGCCGGCTCCTCCGTGTTCCCGTGGCCGGCGGCAGCCACGGCCGCGTGCCCTCCCCTGCCTTGTGCCGTCGCCAGGGCTGGCAAACCTGCCGGCTCAAGGCTGCTCACGACGCTCCCTTGTCAACGCGGGCAGGAGAAGTGGGTTTGCAGTTGTGACTCCGTGAAACACGGAGTTTACTTTTGTACGGTTATTCATTCATTGTCATATTATTCTCTACATGAGCAACTCCAAGCCTACTTTTGCCCCATGGCTTATTGATACTCTCTAAGTTTTAAAATTATTCTCTTTTCTCTGTTTAATTTTTGAGTTTCTGTGGCTGCCTTTAACATCTCCGATCTTTTCTTCTGCAACGTCTAACCTGCTGCTTCTCCTGCTCTGCAGAGGTTTCATCTGGGTCTTCAAAACACCTGCCTAAACGGGGGTGCAGTTGTAGCAACTGTTTGAATGACCTTGAGCTCCAGTTCAGCCCTGGGTTGGTTCTGATTGATGGGTTATCCTCCTTGTTATGGGTTACATTTTCCTGCCCTTTGCATGACTGATAAACTCCCAGAGACAAACACTATAACGGCTGGTAATTTTTGACTGGCCGTGAGATGTGCATTTACGTTGTTGGGTGTGGCGTCTCATACGACTCTAAGTTTCTGAGCTTTGATGGGAACACGTGTTTGCAAACAGCCGGTCCTTTCAAGTCTCCCTCAGAGGCTCTCTGGGCGGCAGGCTCCCCAGGGCTGGTTGTGCATCTCCGCGCCCCTGCGCCGGCCCAGACGGGCCCTGCATCTGCCCCCCAGCCCGGCCGCGCCGCCGCCCGGGCTCCCCCGGGGCCTCGTCCTCCCTTCGGCGACGCCTCCGGGCCTCACGTGCTGTCCGCCCAGGGACGTGTGCTCGTCCTCAGATGGGCACTCCGGTCCCCTCCCTTTCTGCTCCTCTGTCCTGCAAAGTCCAGCCGCCCCCTCCACTCGGGCAGGGGCGAGCCTCCCCGGGTGCCCCCGCCCCGCGCCCGCAGGGGGCGTGGCCCGTGCCGAGGGTGCTGTCCGCCTCGGCTGCCCGCGCGGGGCCCCCGCCGGCGGCCCACACTCACGTCGTGCAGGGCCAGGAGGTGCTGGACGCCCTGCAGCAGCTGCTCCGCCTCGGCCACGGCGCGCTGGGCCAGGCCGTAGGCCTCCTGCTGGTGCGCGGTCCGCCGCTCCCCGTCCGGCTCGATCTGGGCACACAGCCTTCACAGGACGGGGGGCCGTCAGCAGGCGTCGGAGCGGCCGCCGCGCAGCGACGGAGGGCGCAGCGTGCGGTCCCGCCCACGCGGCCACGCGGGGCCCCATCAGTGCTGCCCCATCTCGCTCACACGGGCCCCGGGGACCCAGGGCTGCCCCCCGGCCCGGGGGCCGTGTCCGCACTGCAGGATCCCCACGGCCAACGGCCACGTCTGTCGCCGTGGTGAGACTGAGTGACGTTCCACCTGTGTGCAAGTGGCTTTCCCTGGTAAGAGCCGTCTCCGCACGTGACCCGTGACCTGCGTGTTGTGCTCCGCGCTGCGCGCCCCCGGGCAGGTGGGCGTCCCAGGGTGGGGAGGCGGCCGTGCCTGTCTCCCTGTGGGGCCGTGTGCGCACGCGTGTGTGAGCAGGGGTATGCGCGCGTGCTCGTGACGCACATCTGCGCGTGTGAGGTGTGGCGGGACCTGTGTGCAGGACCTGCGCGTGAAGCCTGGGTGGCGGGGCAGGCCCGTGTCTGGGGCTGTGAGAGGCGTCTGCCGCGGAGCCTGCGCGGGGGACCCGGCGGAGGCAGGGCAGGCGTGAGGACGCCGGGCCGAGCTGCCCGTGAGGGCCGCCCCGCGTGGCTGCTGCCCCAGGGTGGGTGTCCCCAGGGGGACGCGGGTGGCCCTGGGGCCGGGGCCAGGAGGGTGCCCCGCAGGGTCGACGACGACTGGGGGAGGGGAGCGGCCGCGCGGGGGCTGAGCGAGGCCAGTGGCCGCCACGGAGCGCCCGTCAGGGGCCCCCCGAGGGACAGCCGCCCCCCGCCCGCCTCCCCGCCCCCGCCCACCTCTTTATCTCCACACGCTGCAGCAGGACATCCACGCAGCTCTCCCTGCTGCCACACTGCGCAAACTTCTTCTCGACGGCCAGCAGGCAGCCGTCCAGTTCCTTCAGCAAAGACGGGAGCTCCGAGGGCCCGCTGCCGACCGACGCCCGGGCCGCCTGGGTCCGGAGGCTCAGGCACCTGGGGGCGGGGGCTCTGCTTTAGGTTCCGAGACGTTTTCTAGAGGACAGGTCCTCAGAGGGGTGGCCCCAAAACAGGCCGAGACCCTGCGACGCCAGCAGCCCTGGAGCAGACGCCGGCTGTGGCCGGACGGGCCCAGAAGCCCTGGTGCCACCTCCTGGGGACAGACCTGTGGCTCCGGAAAGCAGCCGGGTGGGGCGGGGAGGCCGCCGGGCACCTGGCCGGGCCGGGCCCTCTTGGGGAGGGAGGGTGCCCAGTAGGCGCAGGCCCTGCCTGGCGGGCAGTGCAGGGCACGCCCTGAGAATGTAGGGAGGCGGGGGGGCCACCAGGCTCTCTGGAAAGAAAGACACGCCGCCCAAGGGGAGGCGCCCAACCGCCTGGGGCTGCCTTCCCAAGTGGCTGTGACCGACGCGCCGTCCCTCAGAGGCAGGAGGGACAGGGCGGACTCCGGGGCAGGGTGTGCTGCGCCGCCCCCCGGGGAGATCCTGTGAACTTCGGAGGTTTGGTAGGCAGCACAGGAACGAAGCGGCGGCGGAGGGAAAGCACAGCTTCGACGGTTTTTCCTGCAGCGCTACCTGGCTTCCAGGTCCGTGGCCATGAGCTCCAGGTGGGGCGCTCGGTTGGGCCTCTCCCTCTGGAGCGCCCGGAAAGTCTCCACGAGCGCCTGGAACAGCTGGCAGGCCTGGGGCGGAGGGCCCTGGCGTCAGCGGGGCCGCGCCCACGGCACCCGCCGCCCGGGCACCCGCCCCTGCTCACCGCCACTTCTCTGCCCTCCTGCTCCGTGGACAGGAGCGCGTCGGCCAGGGTCAGGGTGGAGCGGTACCAGAAGGCCTCACCGCCGCCCAGGCGCTGGGCGCGCTCAATCATCTTCTGGGCCTGGCTGTAGTTTCTCTCCTTGTTGGCCAGCTGCGCCAGAAGGTGCAGGCACCTGGCTTCTGCACAGGGATCGCCAAGCTCCTGGAAAGGCAGACGTGCACGGAGATGGGATGGGGGCAGGGAGAGCGAGCAGGACGGACAGAGGCGGAGAGGGACGGAGAGGGACAGGCGGGCAGGCGGCGGCTCCGGGAAGCAGGCCTCTCCACGCCGTGTCCATCGGCCGGGCTCCTCTCGGCCCTGGAGGCCGCTCTGAGGCCCAGGTCGGGCTCGCGGCCCGTGTGTGCTGGTGGCTGCCGGCAGGGTTCTGGACGCTGGTCGGAGCTCTGAGACGCCCCTCCCTTCAGCGGCAGCTCCAGCAGCCCCCGCCCTCCCAGGACACAGCCCGAGGGCCACGGAGGCCGGTGCGAGGCGGCCTCAGTCCGGGGGCTGCTCCGGGGCTGCCTCCGCGTTCCCTTCACTGCGCGGGGGGCCGGAGCGGCTCTGGGCGGGGCCTTGCCGGCCTCCGGACTGCGCCCAGCAGGAGGACGCAGGGCCATGAGGCAGAGGGAGGCCTGGCGAGCGTGCCTCTCGCCCAAGAGCCAGGGCCCCCTGGCACCAGCACGCCCGGACGCGGGCGCAGCCGCCGTGGACGGACGTGACCAGAGTGGGGAGGGCAGAGGTGGGCGCGGAGAGCAGTGGGGCCCCCTGGAGGGACAGGGGGCGCTGGGCTGCTGTGGGGACGTGCGGTGGGGGCAGTGCACTGCTCCCGGGAGTGGGCGGGGAGGGGACCCGGTCCCTGCGGTCACCCCGGGGGAGGACCCCAGCGGAGCAGCAGCCACCGGGCTGAGCGCTGTGCCTCGGGGAGGAGCCAAGCAGGGGCAGAGCCCCAGACGCTCAGAGCGACGCGGGGGGGCCGGCTGAAGGGGTGGCCGAGGGGAAGACGCTGAGACAGAGCAGCCGAGAGACACCCGCACACACCCGCCCCCGCTGCCTGAGGCGGAGCAGAGCCTCCCGAGGCTCTGACGGTGCTGCTGAGCCTCAGCACCTTCATCAGGGACTGTGCTCCGTCTGGGGCTCCTCAGAGCCAGGGAGCCCCCGGGGGGCGCAGTTCTGAGAGCCGGACGGGACAGACGCGCCGTCCGCAGCACGGGGAGCAGCCGGCGCGGGCGGGAGGGGCGCACACACGGGGCCCCACCCCGTCCCCCGGGGCATCCGTCCTCCTGGGAGACGGAGCCCGGGAGGAAAAAGCAGCCCCGCTGGGGAGTGAGGCCCCAGAGAGGCCACGGACACCCGCGAGGACGACCTCCGAGCAGGGAGGACAGGTGCGCGGGGAGGGGTGGGGGGGGCGTGGCACACCCCCTGCCTCAGGAGGAAGGAGACCTGGGGTCTCTCCAGGGCCTCGTGCGCCCCGTGAGGAGACAAAGCAGGACCCCGCTGGGTGAGGCAGCAGCCCACGGAAGCTGTGGGACCAGCCCTTGAGCTGAGCCGGGTGGAGGAGTTCCAGGCCACAGAGGAAAAGCAGACAAGGGACAGCAGGGCCTGTCGCCCAGAGACCTGGCTTCTACCAGAGAAGCAGGCAGGCGTCCCAGACCTGGAGGCCGAGGACCGGCCTCGGGACAGAAGGCCCGCCCACACAGCTGGCCGCGGCGCAGGCGTGGCCCCACCTGGAAGGCCTGGCGGGCCTCGGACAGGAGCAGCCTCGCCGGCTGGCACAGGCCCATCTCCAGCAGGACTTCTGCCTTGAGGGTCCACAGCTGCGGCAGGGACGTGCCGTCCAGGCCTCTCCCGGTCTCCCCGTTGATCCGCAAAATCTGTGGATAGGCCGTGTCCAGGGCGTGTCTGCATGAGGCCCGCTCTCCTCTGGCCTCCCTCCCCCGCCTGCGCTCCGCACGCTGTGTCCCTCCCCCGAGCGGGCAGCGCCCCAGCCACCGACGCGGACACGTCACTGAGCCCTCGCGAGCCAGCAAGACCGCGAGGGACCCCAGCGTCCCGGAAGCAGGCCTCCCCCCGGGGCCTGCCCCCAGGAGGAGCCCACATGCCCGGGGCCAGGCTGCCGCTCCCGCCGAGTCTCCCAAGTGCTGGCTGGGGGCTCCCGACGGGGTCCCGGGTGTGGCTCCCCCGAGGGGACAAGCGCTCTCTGACAACAGGGCCTCTTGGCCGGGCAAGCCCCCCGAGGGGTGCCCGCCAGCAGAGGGGAGCCCGGTGCCGCGGCCAGGCAGGCAGGCGCGGGCTCCCGCTCCAGGGCCTCACCGCCCCCCACCCCGTGCCGGGGTCTCCCCGCTGGGAGCCAGCCGGCCTGTCTCCTGGGAACCGCTGCTCGGGTCCTCGCGGGCCCCTCCTGGGGTGGTCTGCCGTCTCGCCCCCTGCCGGGTGGGGAGCAGGGCCGGCGGAGCGTACCTGGTCCTCATCCACGAGGGGCTTCGTCTCCGCGGGGGGCCCGGTGCCCATGGGCTCGCTCAGCGTCCACGAACCTTCTTCCAGCAGCGGCTCCCTGTTCTTCTCCCTTTTCAGTGCGAGTTCTTTCCTGCAGCTGATGCAGGTCAGAGAGGCGGCTAAGGAGCACGCGGCGGCCAAGGAACACCCGGAAATCGAACGACTGCGAGGGGCCTCTATTCACCCGCGTGCTGACACGGGTGGAAGGTCCCCGAGCTCCGGCAGCACGCAGGGCTCCCGGATTCGCACTTTGCGGCCCTCCCCGGACTGCAGACCGGCGCACCCAGCCGCCGGCCTGCTGTCCTGACCTGGCCCGTTACTGCTCCTGAGAACGCCCGCCCAGACGGAGCTCCGCCCACCGAGCGAGGTGGGGCTGCCCTTCAGGCCTGCCGCCCCCTCCCCCGCCGGTGCAAGGCTGTGGACGTTCTCAGTCCACGGAGTGCCCTGCCCTCGCTCGGCCCCAGCCCAGGACGCGGCTGCACAGGCAGGTCAGGCAGGTCAGCAATGAACGGCAGCCCCGCCCCGCCCTCCAGGCCCTGGCTCCTGAGCACGGGGCCCCCCGGGACCCTCCCAACACGCCCCTGCCTGGCCGTGCCGGGCGAGGGGGCCTGGGGCGGGGAGGGGACGTGGCCCAGAGCCACGAGGGCCACACGGGCCGCAGGGCTCCCCCCAGCCTGCACCCCCGCACGAGTCCCGCTGGGGCAGCACGCACCTGGCCTGCTCCGCGTCCCCGAGGTAGGCCTGCCCCACCGCGTCCTCGTGGGACGCGGCCGCGTCTCTCAGCTTCAAGTTGGAGCAGACCAGGGCGAGCCTGGGGGCAACAAAGGGGCAGGCTGTCCCTGGGGGGGCCACACCGCGCCCAGGGCGCCCGGTGAACACGCGTGAACGAAGACACATGTGTGGTCTGACGATCTTTCCAATAATCGTTCAGGCTAAGCAAAACTACTAGGGGAAGCTAACAGGTGGCTGTATCGAAGCGCAGGTAGAAAAGCGGTCGTGTTCACTCACGGCGCCGGCTCCCACGTCCCCGGTCGCCCGAGGGCGGGGCAAGGCGCCCCGGCCGCTCCTCACGGCCACGTCCTGCCTTAGTTCTCACGGAATACGGGAACACACGCGTTGAAGCGCCGCTGACGCGCGATGCTGTGTGAGTGCCAGGGGTGCCCCGTGGCGAGTCGACGCCGGTCGCCCTGTGATGCGACCCCCCCTGGAGCCACCCAGCCCACGGCCTGTCGCTGTGCCGGCCGGCTCTTTGGTTTGAGAGGGTTTGAAGCCCACAGACAAGTCGCACGCACCCTCCAAAGAATTTACGTTCCCGGGAGAGAAGCAAGCAGTACCGACCGGAGGTGGTAGAGGTCTTCGAGGCTCTTGCTGTGCACCACGCAGGCCGAAATCAGGGCCCCCAGCTGCAGGGTCGGGACCGTGAGCTCGTGGAGGGACAGCTCCTGCAGGGCCTCGACCAGCCGGTCCAGGCAGTACAGCGTGTGCGTCTGCGAACACACAGGAGGCGGGGGAGGCTGGGCCGCCAGCTCACAGGCTGCTCCGCAGGGAGCTCTGTGCCCCGCGGCGCCGGGCGCGTGGGTGGGGGAGGGGGCGGGGGACTCCGCCCCGTGAGCGAGTGAGCCAGGCAGGGACAGGCGGACGACCAGGACTCCTCGTTAGCGGCTTCGTTCGCCTCGGGCATCGCCTCCCACCTCCAGGACTCGAGCACAGCTACAGAGTCTCAGCAGAAACAATCCACTTAGGAGGTTATGCAACACTGTTTTTGTTTCATTTTTTTCCACTAAAAACTACCAGTCCATTAAAAGTCCAATTTATTTGTGTACACATGCAACTAATACTTCTTACGCTTTTGATTTAAAAAAATTTTTACTCTTCAGTGGAAAATTAAAAAAGTTGGAGGAACTGCTTGAAAAATATGCTTGAGCCCTGGTTGGTGCGGCTCCGTGGACCGAGCGCCGGCCCGTGAACCAAAGGGTCGCCAGATCCATCCCCCGTCAGGGCACCTGCCTGGTGGCGGCCAGGCCCCCAGCAGGGGGTGTGTGAGAGGCAACTGCCCATGGAGGCTTCTCTCCCTCTTTCTCCCTCCCTTCCCCTCTCTCTAGAAATGAGTACATAAAATCTTTAAAAACAAAACAAAAAAGAAATACTTAAAAAAAATTAAAATAAAATAAAAATCGGCTTGAATGCACTGAAGAGCAAACAAGGCGTGGGGCCTCCCGGGCCAGAGCCTGCGGGGTGACGGGGGTCAGCGGCCCCCAGCATGTGGGCCGCACCCATCACGGCAGCCGAAGAGGCAGCTGGGCGGCTGGGTGGTGCTTCGGTGGCCTCGCCTGCGTGGTGGAGGCCACCGGAAGCTCCCCGCCCAGCTGGGACCCCGCGCGGCTGCCCAGGGCCGGGGCTCCCGAGGGATGTGGCCTCTCCGGACGCCAGCCGGGCCCCGCGGTGTTTGGGTGGCCTGGAGGGACTAGTAACAGGGACTGCTGTTGGGGTCGGTCAGGAAAGGGGGGAGACCCACGGGCATCTCTGCAGACCCCCTCCCACTAAAAGATCATAAAAGGGTGTTAAGTGATGCCAAAAACTTTTAAATTTATATTAGGTGGAAACACCCAAGAAAAGCACAGCCCACCAAGACTGTTAGACCGGAGACTGTGCCGGGAGCCCTGGAGCGATTCACTTAAGGGGACCCCCGATTTTAAATCCTCCCGAATGAAAGATCTGGGCCCAGAAGGTCTGCCTGGAAACCCGCCCGCACGCTTCGGGAAGACGTAACTGACCTCACGCACAGGCTCCCCAGGGGTAGCAGAAAGGGGCACCTCCCAGGGGCCCAGGAGGCCAGGGCGCGGCTGCCCCTCAGGCCACGGCCCCGGGACCGCGGCCGGGACAGCCCCCTCAGTGACCCACCGGCCTCTGGATGCTGGAGGCGTTGACAGTGAAGTCGCTCCTGTCCTGCGTGAAGAAGGCCGTCACCGCCTCCGGGCAGAAGTAGGAAGCCCACGCCTCCACGCTGGCTGGCACGTCCTCCGGCTCCTCGCTGGGGACCCGGGGCGGCGGCTGTGCAGCAGGGACGCAGGGTGTGGGGTTGGGAGGCGCAGGGGACGCGCCGGAGCTGGGGGTGGAGGCCCGGGAGCCGCCCGCGCCGCCCTGCGCCCCAGGCCCCGAACGAACGCGCCGCCCCAGAGCCACAGCCGGTGCCACGGCCAACGCCCGCCTGGACGGCGCTCCCGGGCGAGCACGCTGCGTTTCCCGCCCTGTGCACCGAGAGTCCCCGGGGTCCCCAGGCCACGGCCCGGCGCCCCCGCCCAGCCGCGTGCCGCGACCACTGGGCGTCCGAGCGCAGGCGAGAGCCCCACTCGGGGGCTGCAGGGCCGGGCCGGCCGGCAGACGGGCAGCGGGCGTGCGGCCCCGAGGCCTCGCAGGCGCTCGGTGAGGGGTCAGGGGCGCAGGACGGCCCACGGGGAGGGGGACTCAGGGCCGCACCCCCCCCACGCCCCCGGGCCCAGGTGGGCCTGTGGGCGCCGGGCAGGGCCTTTGACCAGAGCCTCGCTCCTGCCTGGGATGGCCTCCAGGGAGCGGCCAGACCCCTCCCTGCCCCCGTGGCCCTCCCAGCACCCGAGGTGTGGGTGTGTGTGCGCGTGAGAGAGAGAGCGCACGCGCAGGAGGGCGGGAGAAATCGCTGCCCCCGTTTTACAGAGGAGGAAACTGAGGCACAGGCAAGCCATTCCGGCCCCGTGGCCTGGGGGTGCCGAGCGGCGCCCGCGCCCAGCCGTGCGGCCCGTCTGGGGCCTCAGCCCCCCGTCCCGCCTGCGCCTCCGGACAGATGCGTCACCTGCTTCAGGTCTTTGCCCTTCTCTCTGTCCTTGTCCTTGACCTTCTCCTTCTCTTTTTTAGGCAGCAACACATGCGAGCTCGCTGCTGCTGGAAGTTTACTCTCTGAAATGGATTTTCTTGCTGTTAATAAAGAAACCTGTGAAGAGGAAATAAAAATTTGCAACGTTAGGGAGAGAGATGTGGCCCCACCTTCCTCCCAGACACTCCGCCGCCAGGGGTGGGTCAGTGGCCCCAAGCCTCAGAGTGGCAACCCTGTGCCCGTTCATCCGCTGTGGCTGCCCTGGCGAGTCGGCCGGGCTGAGGTGGCTGCAGTGTCCCCGGGGTTGGGACATGCGGACTCGGGGACACTGGGTGAGGGTGACCGTCAGGGCGGCTTTGCCGGGAGTGAGTGTCCTGAGGGTCTTCCAGATTCCGGGGCGGGGCCCTTTCCTTTCTTCTTGCTGCCCAGGGGGCCAGGCTCTGCCCGCAGGAGGCCCCTGAGACACCGGCCACCACGAGCTGCCGGGAGGGGCTGCGGAGGGTGGGGGCAGGGGCAGGGGCAGCCGTGCGAGGGGCGGGGGATGGGAGTCCCCGAAAGCCAAGCCGCAGGAAGGACACTGGCCTCCGCCGACCCTGTGACCTGCAGCGACCCTGGAGGGCGGTTTCGGGGGGGGGGGCGCCGGGAGACGCTGCGCACGCCTCGAGCCGAGAGCGCCTTTGGGGGCAACCACGCGGCCCCGCGGCCTCGCCCGGGAAGCGCGGAGCCCCCGCCCTGGGCCCCACCTGCCAGATGCGCCGCAGGGCCGCGTAGGCCACCAGGCAGTAGTCCTGGTAGGCGGCGGCGCTGGGCGACACCACCAGGGCCAGCAGGATGTGGGCGCGGGCCAGGCCCTCCAGCTGCCGCACACTGTGGAGCTGCTCCAAGGACACTGTCCCCGCGTCGTCCGCGGGCCCCGGTCTCTCCGCGGCCGCCTGTGGGGGCGGGTCCTCCCCTGCAGCGGGGGGGGGCGGGAGGGAGGGGGGCTGCTGGCCTGGGTGGCGCTGGGGGCGCTTTGGGGTTGGGGGCTGGAACCTCCCCTCCCCTTGTTGCCCAGACCCGCTGCCCGAGCCAGAGCTGGAGGCTGGGGGCTCACGGGACCCAGAGCCGCCCTGGCCGCGGTGCACACCTGCCGGCGGAGGGGCGCCCCTGGCGGACGGCGCGGCCAGCATGATGTCGGCCGCCCAGGTCAGGTGGAAGACCACGTCGTCGACGGAGAACTGCCTGTGGTAGAGCCACTCGCCGAACTCCAGGATGTAGTCCACCTTCTGCCACTCGCTCTCGGGCCTCTGGGGGTCGACAGCAGAGGGCGGCCAGGACGCAGCCACACTCCCCGCCCAGCACCCCCGAGATCGGCGGGGCGATAGGCGCGGCGGCTCCATCGCCTGGCGTCCACGCCCACCCCCACCCTAACCTGCCTGGGACGCACGCCCACAGGAGCTAAAAATGGAAGCAGCACCAGCGCCTGTCCCCACGGGGGTGCCACTCAGCCGCGGAAGGGACACGGCGCGGCACGCGCCGCGAGCCCGGAGACTGTGCCCAGGGAAAGGCCGCAAAGGGCCTGCCTCGTCTGATGGTCTGTCTGTGACGTGTCCAGAGCGCACAGACCCACGGGGACAGAAAGCAGGCTGGCGGGCGCTGCCATGGGGCTGGGATGGGGCCCGGAGCCACAGGGCCTGGGTGTTTGGGGGCGGTGACGGCTGCGTAGCCCGGAGGCTTTGCTAAAACACGTCCTGTACCTCTGAGAAAAAGGAAACAGCAGAAGACAGGGCCGAGGGGCCGGCACGGACAGCGGGCCTTTGCCGACCACCCAGATGGCCCACCTTCTCCTGTGGGGACCCTGCTGCTCTCTCTGATGGAGGCGGGTCCCCACTGCCGGGTCCCGGGAACCCGGCAAGCCCGTCCCCAAGGGAGGACTTGGCCTCTGGCCCTGGGAGCAGGGGACCGCCCCTGCACTGGCCCCGCTGCGTGACCCACACAGGAGCGGCAGGGGTCCTGGCCCGGGGAACCTGCCCTCCGCATGCGGCCTCTGCCCCCGCCGAGGGGAAGCGCCCCGCTGAGCCGAGAGCTCCCCGGCACCTGGGCAGGGCTGCCTTCGGACGCCCTCCGGCCCCACGGCCCGGCCTCTCTGTCCGGAGCAGGTCCCACCTGCTCGCGCCTCAGTCAAGGCGCCCGCCCTTCCCTTCTCCCACCCGCCCACCCACCCAAGGGCATCCCGGGGAACCTCTGTCCCATCTGCTTGGAGGAGTGTGGCCCTCAGAGCCCAGAGCCCAGCCGCTGCAGAGCCCGCTTCCTCCACAGCCGCCCCCCCGCCCCCGCCCCCGCCCCAGGGCCTCGGCCCCTGCCATCCCCGCCCCACCCCCGCCGGGGCCTGGGCGCAGGCGCCAACTCTCGCGCGCACGCACGCACGTGTGTGGGTCTCGCCCCTCAGGCTGCAGAGGGTGCCGTCTGCGGCCCTTGTCAAGGGAGTGAAGAAACGCGCCCCGTCACCCCCGGGACCGAGCGGGGCGCACCTGCAAGGCTTGGATTGCGTTCTGGTAGCAGGTCAGTTGTACATAGACGTCCTTTGAGTTCAAGGCCAGGCGGTGCCACATGTGGGCCAAGTAGTCTTCGCTCTCGTCCTTGAACTTGTGCATCTCCATCGTGAAGTTCAGGCCGAGCTTGGCCTTCACAAGGACCATGTGCTTGAAGATCAAGCTGAAGGAAAGCAAGAAGCGGCTTGCTTCTTGAGTCGACGGCAACATTTAAATTTGTGTAACTCATTCAAAACGGAAGTATTTCTCTGTTTTCCTACTTACAAAGAGACAACAAAATGGCCCCGGCTGATGCGGCTCAGGGGACTGAGCGCTGCCTGTGAGCCAAAGGGCCGCCGGTTCGAATCCCAGTCAGGGCACCTGCCTGGGTTGCGGGCCAGGTCCCCAGTGGGGGGCACATGAGAGGCAGCCACACATGGATGTTCCTCTCCCTCTCTCCCTCCCTTCCCCTGTCTAACAATAAATAAATAAAATCTTTTAAAAAAAACAAAACAAGATACAACAAAACGGAACCTGAGTTACTTGGGTTTTTGTGCTGTGGCCTGTCTCTAAATTACACTTCTAATTTACATTAGCGTGCATGCGCGCACGCGTGTTCCGTGCTAAATCCCCACACTTCTCGTGTTGGGTTCTCGTGGGGACAGTCACCAGGAAAGGGCGGGGGAGGCCTGGCCGGGAGCCCGCAGCGGGCGCTGGGGCCCGGGCGCACTCACAGGCGATGTGCCGTCCGCGGCAGCACCTGCACGGCCTCCTCCAGCACCTTCAGGCCGCCCTCCCAGTCGTCCTGGTCGGCGTGGCAGTGGAACAGCAGCCCGTAGAGCGCGGCGCGCAGGGACAGGTCGTCCTCGGCGCCTGTGGGACAGGCTCGGGCGTGAGGCCCCAAAGGGGCCTCGGGCAGCAGGGAGGGAGCGCCTGCAGAGCCGGTGCGGCCGGCCCGGCCCGCAAGACACCGGGCGGGCTCTGGACGCCCAGCGCCGCCCACAAGCTCTCCCCTAGGCTCAACCCCACTTTCTGGTTCTTCCCAGAATCTGAATGTTAAAACGACGACACCATTTAACCTACAGGGTTTTTTTCCAGCGCAGGGAGCAGTGTGGGTGGGACTTCCGCTCCGCCGCACGGGCGCCACACAGGCCACGCGGGCTGGCCGTCCACCACGGCCCTGCGTGACCGGACGCCTGCCGCGTCCCTGGCGGCTGCTGTCGACCTCTCTCTGTGCAGCCGTTCCGACAGCTGAACTGCACTTAGTATCTAACTACGCAGGGCCACCTTTTGTTGACTTTAAATCACGTTTGCGTCTCTCAACGAGACTGTGCAGCCCTCGGGGCGCACCTGCAAGGCCCCCCGCGTCCCCCCGGGAGCCACGGCTGCGGCCCGCGTGTTCGCTCCCCGAGCAGGGGTGCTGAATTTCTAGCAGATAACCATCATCCTTCTCCTTTAAACGTGGAGTCTAAAATACGGTTTCCGTTGTTCTAAGGGCGGCATTTTTAGGTGCGTGTCTCCACCTTCTTATGAAAGCAGATTATGACTCACCCATCAGAATAACCCAGAGGCTGCATTTCAGGGTAGCCGGGAGGCCCTAGACAAGGGGGCCGTCGGGCCTTGGGTCCTCGCGCGCAGTGGGGGCCCCACGAGGTCCCACGAGCAGCACTCCCAGCGCCCGTGACACCCAGACGGCGGAGCGGCCGTCTCCCGGGGCGGCCGTCGCGATCGCGCTGGGCGGGCACGGGGATTGGGGCCGAGGGCGCAGGGCCCCCCACGCCGCGCCGGCGCTCTGTCCGCCACGTCCGCGCACCTGGGAGGAAAGAGATGTCCGACGTGCCTCCGCCCTGGAAGTCCGCGGTCGGCCACTGGTGCAGGCGCTGCGTGCTTCCTTTTTCCTGGAGGAGGCACAGACGGGCGCGGGCTTGGCTGTTGTGGCGGGTCCTTCCACCACCTGGTGTTTCTCTTGGCTCAGTATCTAATTACAGAAACTGCAGCCAAATTTCTAAAATACTAAGTCACATTTCGTCCCTAAGAAAAGGCCGCCCGGCACGAGTCAGCCACGGGGGAGCGCTCCAGGCCGCCCCCCGTCCACAGCGTCTTTGGTGACAGAGCACGGAGTGACATCCGTCACTTTAAATCAGCGGGACCCAGCCCTTGAGAAAAAACGCGGGGACGCAGCGAAGGCGGTGCTCAGGGGGACGCTTCTACCTGCAAATGCCTCCACCCCCTCCTTACACCGCAAGGACCCGGGAAAAGACAAACTAACCCCCAAACTGCAGAAAGAAGGGACTACGAAAGATTACAAAAGAGAGAAAGAAAATACAAAGAATATCAACAAAACCAACAGTTGACTCTTTTTTTAAAAAATCAACAAAATGGACAAGTTTTAGCTACATTGACAAGGAAAAAAAGAAAAGACACAAACGGAAAGAAAGTAGGAGCGCTCCGACCCAGCCCAGAGAGACACAATGGATTGTCGGAGGGCCCTTTGACCAACCGTAGGCCAACCAGTTAGACAACCTACGAGACTCAGAGCGCCCCTGAGCACAGTGAGTGGCCTAAGCTGCTGAAGAAGAAATGGGAAATCTCAACAAACTTCTGGGAGTCTGGACGGAGCCAGTGATCAGACACCTGCCAACAACAGGAAGGCCCGGGCCCCGCGGCTCGACAGGTGAGTTCCACCTTTACACGCTCGACATAGACCCTCCTCAACTCCCGAAAACACTGGGAAGGAAGAGATACTTTCCAACTCATTCCATGAGTCTGGAATGATTTTTATAGCAAACCCAGATAAAGACATCACAAGAAAATTACAAGCCCCACATTCTTTACAAACACAGATGCAAAAAATCCTCAATAAAATATCAGCCAGGCACATCCGTCGGCATAATGGAAACATCGCCCCCCACGAGCCCGTGGGGGGCAGCCGGGAGCGGGAGGCTTTAACGCTGAGAAGCGCCATCCATGCGAAAATCACAGCGACGGGACGTGGGACACCGCAGGATCGTCCCAGCCGGCGGAGAGAGGCATTCGAGGAAATCCAGCCTCTCATCCTAAAATCCCCGGGGAACTAGGAACAGCGGGAGGCTTCCACGGCACGACAGAGGCCGTCCGGGGCGAACCCCCAGCAAACGCGGGAGACGCAGGCGTGACAGCCTGCGACGTCCCCTCCGAGGGCAAGGACGGGGCAGGGCGCCTGTCTCGCCACTGCTGCTCACGCTGCCAGAGCTACAAGACGCGAAGAAGAGATCAGCACATGACAGATGCTCGACAGCATTAGTCTTTAAAGAAAGGACAATCGAAACCCCAATGAGATGCCGTTGCACGCCCGCCAGGGTGGCCACGGAAAGCGGTGCCGCCGCTGTGGGACAGCCCGGCCGTCCCCGCCACAGCTCAGCACCGGACCCCGCGGGGCCCGGCCATCCCACCCCCGGCGGCCCCAGAGCCCACGGCAGGCACCGCGCCCGCACACCCGCTCACGCCGCCGAGCGCGCCCCAGGGAGCAGGCGTGGACAGGGGTCTGCACACCACGGGGCGCGCCCAGCCTCAGAGAGGAGGGCGAGGCGACCTGGGCTCCACGGGGCGGGAGCGGCGCTCAGCGAGTAAGGGCTCGGGTTAGGGACGGTCCTCCCTCCGGGAGGCTGGTGGCAGAGCCGGGTGGGGACGCCCTGGCTGGCAAGGCCCAGCCCCGGTGTGGGCCCTGCCCGGCAGCTCCTGTGGTTTCTCCTGAGCGGACGCCTGAGTCTTGCCCCCCCGTCCCCACGCCCTTCTTCCGGCGCTTCCCAGGGAGGGGCTGGGTGCTCTGGGAGGGGAGGGCAGGAGGGGGCGCGGGGGAGGTCAGAGCTGAGCGCTGAGCTCCGCGGGGCCACCGCCACCCGCAGGCCACCGTCCCTGTGCCCGGCTTGAGCAGTCCCAAGGGGGCCTCCCGGGGGCCGCGCCCGCCCCTTCTGGAGGAAGAGCCCGGGGGGCAGCCGGGGCCCCGGAGGCCGCGGGGCGGCACCTGTGTCTGGGCCTCCGTCTTGTTGATGACGGCGATGACCTGCTGCACGGCGCTCTTGGCTGCCCTCCTGCTCGCCGCGGAGGACAGCAGCGGGAGCTGGGTGTTCCAGTAGTGCCGGGCGGCCAGCATCACCAGGGCGCTGCTCTGCGCGATGCCTCCGAACCTGGGAGGGGCCGAGCCAGCGGCTGCAGACGGCCCGACGCCGCGGCTCCTGGGCCCTTCCGGGGCGGCTGAGGCCGGTGGCTCGGTCAGAGCCGGGCTCAGCCCCGCAGGACGCGCTCCTGGGCAGCCCCTGCCCTGCCCCCACCTCGCCGCGGAGCCTCTGAGGGGCGGCCTCTGCGACAGGCTCTTGGCTGCAGGCCACGGCCACGGCCGCGCCTCCCCCACACGGTGCGCGCCCCACGCGACTCACCGCACGCTCTCCGTGAAGGCCTTGGCGGCCGCCACACGCAGCTGCTTCCGCCCCTTCAGGTTCTCCACGATGCTCCTGCCCTGGGTGCAGGCGGTGATGCTCAGTGCCTCCGCAGCCAGCTGCGCCTGGACCCTGCGGGCAGAGCGCCCTCAGCTGGCGGCAGGGGCGAGGGGCGGGGTTCCGCAGGAAGGTGAGTGTGCCCAGGACGCCCGGAGCAGCCCCCGGAGCCCCAAGCCAGAACTCACTGGCCAAGCGCAGCCAGCTCATGGAACCCCAAGGCCATAGCCTCTGGCGTGCACACGTGTGTGTATTTTTAAAGGTTTTATTTATTTTTAGATAGAGGGGGGAGGGAGCGAAACATCCACGTGTGGTTGCCTCTCGTGCGTCCGCTACTGGGGACCTGGCCCACAACCCAGGCCTGCGCTCCAACTAGGGATCGAACCGGCGACCTTTCAGTTCGCAGGCCGGCGCTCACTCCACTGAGCCGCACCTGCTGGGGCTATTTTACTTTAATTTTGAGAGCGCGTTTATTAACACTGAGGACAGTGAAACACAGGGCGGGCTTAGGACAGAAGGGGCAGCCGGAGAGAGCCCGGCGGGGCCGCCTCCGGGACGGAGACGGGGGGGCCGTGGAGACAGACGGGCACGGGGACTCAGCCCGGGACGCCCGCCAGGCTCGGCCGTGCTCCGGGGAGGCGGCCCCGCCGGGGTCTCCCATGGCTGATTTGTCAGGCACTGGGCCTGCGCTCGCTGAGCAGCTGGAGCCCTCGGCGGGCCGGCAGGGACGGCGCGTGATCCCCGCGCCCTGGACGCGGACTAGCCTGGCCGGCCAGGCTGAGGCACACAGGATGCAGCTCTCACTGAGGCCTCACCTCCGTTCCGCGCTGGACGGGTCCCCTGCCTGCGGCTCCGCTCAGGGGCCGCGGGCCTGATTCTGAAACACGCCCCTGAGGACCAGACCTGCCTGTGGCGCGGACGGGAGCCCCGCGGCCCTCGGCCCCTGCATGCGCGGTCAGGTCCCGCTCCCGGGGCGGGGCGGGCCGGGAAGTTGCCGGTTTCCCTGTTCTTTCAGCTGCGCGAGAGGCGGCCGGGGACCCTGGTTCCAGCTGCATGCGCGCCTCATCTCTGCCGCCTGAATTTGAGGCGCTGCTGCTGCCCCGGGCGCGCACGTTGAGGGTGTCTGTTTTCTCGGTGACTGGACCCGCGCTCGCTGGGGACGCCCCCTCCCTCTCCAACGCGGCCACGCCAGCCGCGAGTGTGCGCAGGGTGCGGCCTCGCCCAGCCTTGGCGCTCACGCGTGTCTCCACCCTGGAAGGGGTCTCCTGGAAGCAGCTGCAGCTCCCGGCGGCCCCTGTGCGGCGTCCGGGGGACAAGCCGCTCTGGCCGGAGTGCTGCTCCGTGGACGCCGGCCGCACGCGCCGGCGTGGCTTCGCCCCTCGCCTTCCTCTCCTCCCGCAGGGCCCTTGTTTCCCTCCTGGGGTACTTTTCAGGGTCCCGTTTGACCTCCGCGATTGGGGTTTGAGTGAGTTTAGGGCTGGCCCGGGGTTAGAGCGCTCGCCCGGCACAGGTCAGGGCTGCCGCCGATGAGGTCACCTCACTTCGCAGGGGAGGCCCGAGCCAGCAGCAGGCTTCCCCGTGGCTCCTCCCCACCCTTCCCTTTACGGTTTTCACCCATTTTCCTTCTGCTTTCGTTCGTAACCCACAGCACCATGTGTCTCCTGTTTTGAGAGGCCGATGTCTTCTGCGCATTTGGGTGCGGAGGGGCCAGCCCTGCCACGCCCACGCTCTTCCCCCTCCTCGGATGACATGTCCCCCGGTACCGCCTCCTCCGGCGTTTCCTGGTCTAATGGGAAGGGATTCTCTTAGAATGAGTCAGTCAGTCTGAAAACGTCTTGGTCTTGCCTTCATTTTTTGAAGGCCGTCTTGGGTGGGTGGAGGATTCTCGGCTGACAAGGTCTCCCTTTTCGCCTTGTTTCCGTTGAGCAGTCGGCGGCCCTGCCCTTGTTTCCCTGCGTTAAGTGCGTCTTTTCCCCGCTTCCAGCTTCTTCCCGCCACGCTTGGCCCTCAGCCGTTTCCCTGCAACGGAAGCAGGTGGGGTTTCCCTCGGGCTGCCCCGCGCTCCCTTCACTGAAAATGCTGGGTCTCGGGTGATGTTTAATTCCGCGTGAGGACATTTCAGCTGCTACATCCTCAAGTGCTGCATCTCCGCCTCCCTCCCCACCTCTGTCCCCTGAGCTGCAGCCATTTTGTCCCTGAGGCGTCCGCTTCGACCGCCTGCTGACCCGCGTTCAAAGGGACCTGTGCTCCTCCGTGTCGTTTCCATGACGGAGATCGTATTTTTCAGTTCTAGAAATTCCGCTTAGTTCTTTATTATGGTTTTCATTTCCTTGTTGAAATTCCCCACCTGCAGGTTAATCCGTCCTTTAAAAACCTGTTCTGTATTTAGTGTGGCTTTTATTTTTTTTAAGGTTTAATATTTACTTCTAGAGAGAGTGGAAGAGAGAAACATCCATGTGTGGCTGCCCCTCATGCGCCCGCTGCTGGGGACCTGGCCGCCGCCCAGGCCTGTGCCCGGCCTGGGGACCTGGCCGGTGACCCTGTGGTTCGCAGGCCGGCGCTCGGTCCACGGAGCCGCACCCGCCGGGGCTGGCGCAGCTGTTTTCGGTGCCCTGCGGTGTGTCGGCGTCTGTTGGACAGTTTTCTATTCTGCTGGCTGAGGTTTTCTCCCGACACGGACCGGCCCCCGTTGCAGCTCCGCCGTCCGCCAGCGGGGGGGCCGGGCCGCTGCCTTCGTGGGAACGGCTGTTTCGAAGACGGAAGGGGGAGACGCGTGAGGAGCCCCGCGAGGCCCCGGCCACGGGCCCAGCGACCCCAGCTTCCAGGGAGCCGGTTCAGGACGCGCGCTGAAGAGGAGCCCCTTCAGGGAAACAATGTTTACTGCAGAAATATTTACATTAGCAACAAACTTTTTAGAGCCTCACTTTCAGAAATGGAGGAAAGATTCAGTGCGACCGTCACCAGTCAGCTAAACGGCACCTGGGAGCAGTGAGTGAACGATTAGAAAAATGAAGCGCCCGTGGCCCCCGGGGCCGACCCTGCAGGGCGTGAGCGGCCGGCAGCCCTCGGGCCGGGGACATTCTCCTTCCACGGAAACAGCCCTTTAACCACGTCCTCAGACGTCTGGGGTCCTCAGGCGTCTGGGGTCCTCAGGCGTCTGGGGTGCCTGCCGCCTACCCAAAGCCCGGCACAGCTGCATGTCCGCTGGGGCGGGGGGCGCGGCGAGCCCTTCCCACCTCGGTGCCTGCTGCGCTGGTGGCCGGCGCGGCCCGAGCGGCCTCAGGGCCCGGCTGCGGGGCCGGCAGACAGAGGCCGCACGGCGCCCGGACAGGGCTGCTGCCGCCCACAGAGCCGAGCGAAGGCCTGGCCAGGGCCGGCGCATGGGCCACTGCGGTCACTGCGTGCGCCCTGCAGGCAGACGCGAGCGCTCCCCCCGCCCTCCGGACCTTGGGGGAGCCGGGGCGACAGCCACATCGCCGGACGCAGGGGCCAGGAGCCGGGGAGGCGACTCACGGACTGAACTTCCTCAGGCACTGAACGCCCATCTGGATGGCCCTCTGCGAGCACGCCATGGTGACCTCGTGGTCGCGGGCCGCGTATGCGAAGTGGCTCAGGCGAGCCAGGGTCTGCAGCTCCACCAGGGGCTCCGCCCAGCTGCACGCGGCCGCCATCTTCACCAGCTGCGGGAGGCGGGAGCGAGGCGGGCGCTCAGCGCGGGCCTTCCCGGCCCCCGGCCACGGCCACGGCCGCTGCAGGCACGCCCTTTGCTAAAGCCTTACGCTCGCTGCAGGCCAGCGTGCTATGTCATTCCAGACAGGCCTGGGTGGCCGAGGACCCTCTCCCCGTGAACGCCATGAAGGCTGAGTGACTGCGTCACTGGTCGCAAACCTAGGCCCAGGCTCGGGCTCAGGGTCGCTGCCGGGGGACAGACGCCCCCCTGTGTACCCTGCCTCAGCGCCCCCAGGGGCACCCTGCCCTGCACGGAGCCACCGAGGAAGCTGCCGTGTGAAGCTGCGCTCGGGGCCCGGGGGGTCGGCAGCCAGCCAGGCCGGCAGGGCCCCAGGCCAGCGCCTCGGGCCGCGCCCTCAGACCCTCTGCACGGCGGGACTGGAACAAGCGGCCCCAGGCTGGGAGGCCTTGTCTGTGCCCAACCCCTGGCCTGCCAACCGGCACACTTGGGGACCCCCACCTGGGCCAAGGGGGGCACGGTGAAGTCCATGAGGCCCAGCCCGTTGCAGGAATACATCTCCAGGGCGACGAGGACTCTGGTCACGGAGCTGATGTCCTCGTTGGTGCTCTGGTAGAAGGGACATGCATGGCTTCCATGAGCCCCAGGGCCCCAAGGGGCCGGGACACGCAGACTCGAGTCCCGTGAGGCACCCGAGCCCTGGCAGTGACGGGGGCTCCGGCATGAGCGTCTGGCTCCAGGCGGCCTTGCGGGTCACGGGGCCGGACGCGGAGCCGCCCGGCCTGGCTGCGGGGCGGGCCGGTGGCCAGCAGGGGGCGGGGCCGCACTCGGCGCCCGACCCCAGGCCGCTCAGACGCCCCCCTCACCGCCTCTCGGGTCTCCCTTTCCGCCTGTCCTGGCGCGTCCTGCCTCTGGCCAGCGCCCGCGCGAGTCTCCTGGTGGTCTCCCCCGACGGCCACGCCGCCCCTCGCCTCTCCCCTCCCGCCCCCGCTTGCGCCCCCAGCCCCCCCCCACAGCCTTGTGTCCACAGCCCAGGGTCCCCGGTCCCCTGCCAAAGAGGGCCCCTCTCTGGCCCGAGTGCACCTTCCGATAAGCCACCGTGAGCGTCTCCTAGGGCGGACAGCACCCCCAGAGGCCCGGCGGCTTGGCGAACACCGAGAAGAGCAGCCGGCGGCGGGAGGAGGGGGGCCGGTGCGCCTGGGCAGGGGGTGGGGCCCGCGGGGACGGCCCCTTGTCGGGGCACCCTGCCCGCTGCCCGGCAGGCCGCACCTGCTCCTCCGGGCCCAGCCTCGGCCCGATCTGCTGCTGCAGCAGCTGCTTGGCCTTCACCCAGGTGGCGATGAGCTGCTGCCGGGCTTCGACGGGCACAGCCTCCTCGGGCGCCGTCCCGTTGGTCAGGCTGAGGGCGAACTCGCAGACCTGAAACGGAGGCGTCCTCATTCCTGACACTGGAACTCTGAACGGAGAGGCCCGAGCAGAGGTCCGAACCGGCGCCCTCAGCAGCCCAGGCTCCTGTCCAGACCCTGACGGCGGCAGGGACGCAAGCAGCCCAGGCGCGTCGGTGGCTGAGACGGCGGTGTGTGGCTCGTCCTCCCACGCCCTCGGCCCCCAGCCCCGTGTACCGGGGCCGGCAGCACGGCAGCCCCCCTCGCTCTCTGAGGGCGCCGGCCTGTCCCGAGCAGGGGCAGCGGGGCCTTCCTCGCCCGCCTGCCTGCCGCCCACCCTCCTCACAATCGGGTAGGCGGCAGGCTCTGGCCGCTCCCCTTAGGGAACCGTTAGGGAACGTGCTTTGTCCCACACTGACTGAGACACTTCTGAACTAGAGATGGGCGAGAGGTCATCAAACGCTCCTCCACGCCCCCCCCCCGGGCGGCTACAGCGAGGGCCACGTTGGCCGGGAGCTGCCCCTTGAGGGGCAGTCGCCCCTGCCCGCCCACATCACCGGTGTCTGTGCGCGCTCGGCGAGCTGGCGGGAGTCTGTGCTTCCCTCCGCGCAGGGGCGGCCTGTGAAGGCGCCACGCCCTCCCGCTCAGGAAGATGTGCGCACCCCCCCCCAAGGCCCGGTGCCCGCGCCCGCCCGGCGGGCTGCACCTCCACCGCGGTCCTGACTTCGGAGGCGGCTTCCGGGTCCAGGGGCGCGTGAGCCACGTTCGGACGCACGGGCCTTCTCGCCTTTTCTGGCGTCTGGGCCGGGATCCAGCTGATGATCAGGCCTCGAGCCAGCGCGTTGCAGAGCATCGCCAGCATGACCGGGTCGCTGGAAGGCACGGCGCCGGCGGGTGAGGCGCGGGCTTGCGGCGCTCGTACCTCTGGGGTCAAACGGCAAGGCGGCCGCCTGCCATCGGGCACCAGCGCAGGGCACTGTTCCCAGGCCTTGGGGGAGGGCGCTGGCTGTGACAAGCCTGCTGGGCCGACGCTCAGGGGCACTGAGAGGGCGGCAGCGGGCCGCGCAGGCTGGACAGAGAGGCCCCCCGGCCACGGGGCCCGGCCAGGGCGTCCCGCGGGCCCCGGGCCGGGTCTGAGAATTTCCGTCAGCCACCTGAGCGCAGGCGCTTATACCAGGAGCTTGGTGCTCCGCACCGGGGGCGTCGTGGTGCCAGAACGCTTCCCGTGCCCACCAGCGACCTCCACGCGCCGTGGCTCGCGGGAGCCGCGCCCCCACAGAAATGGGCCGGGCCGCAGCCCTGAGGCGCTCAGCGGGGGGCCCGGCCTCCGCAGCCCCTGGGGGCTGACGTCAGAGGCTGCGCCAGCCTCGCGCCCGCGGGGAGGGGACGGCGGCGGGCGTGTCCTCGTTTCATGGTGGTTTTCTTTATTATTCGTAACTTTAAAAACGTCCCTGTTACATGTTGCTACACTGAGTCATTCTTGAATTTCTGCTTTAGCATCCAATGAAAATATTTAAATCGTGTCGTTCAGACTAAAAGCCAAAACAACAGAAAACACAAGGAGAGTTTTAAAATTTCATCCTAGTTAGAGAAAACTGCGACCCAGCTTGATGTTTTCAACTTTCCAGCCGCAGCACGTGAGGGTGGGGGTCTCCCACAAGCTCCCATCTGGGTAAGACGACCCACAGACCCCTTTTCAACCCCCCCCGCCCCCCGCCACAGCGAGAGCCGCTCTCCTCCTCCTCTGTCCCCCTCGGTGACTCGGGCTCCGCAAGCCTTTCCCACAATCATTCTGTTTGCAGCACAGACTGAGGGGGCTGCGGGGGGCCTGGGAGCCTCACCGACCCCCACACGCCGCCCGTGGCTCAGGGGCGCCCGGCTAGGTAAAGGGAGCCTGGGACCGTGTGAGCAGCCCCCCGCGGTCCCCCGGGCTGGCCGCGGCCCGCCACCCCCGGCCCCAGGGGACGGCAGCCCCACCTCTCCCTGGAAGGGCAGCACTGGAGACAGGGACCCAGTCTGGCCCCACGGCTCCAGCGCCGGGACCCACCCGTTGTGGCCCGTGGCCTTGACGATGCTCAGGAGGCGGTACAAGGTGTCCACCAGCTCCTGCTGCCGCCCGGCCGTGATGAGGTGGTGGTTGTGGTTCAGGACGTAGACCACGGCGTTCTGCACGATCCAGGCTTCCTGCATCTCCTGCCCGATCTCGGCCGACCGCAGCCAGTTGGTCATGGCGTACTGCGAGAGGCTCTCGACCCAGGTCCTGCGGACACGCAGCCCCGCTCCCCTCGGACGCCGGGCCTACCCGGCCCGCGACCCCAACACCCACGCGAGGCCTGCCCAGGGCCCCGCCCCGGCTGTGGGCCGGCCCAGGGAGGCGCCCTGCTGGGGCCGCCGACCACGTCCCTCCTCAAGGCCCCCAGGCCCGCCCAGCTCCCCGGCCCCCCCAGGGACGTCACACGTGTGACTCAGGCCCTCTCGCTCTGTCCCTGGCCCGCAAACTCCCAGCCCCGCTGGTCTGAGGACACAGTCCTGCCGGAGGCCAGCCTGCTGCCCGTCCCCCTCTGCGGCCACCCCACGCATCCAGGCCACTCCCCTCAGGGCGATCGGGTGCTGCTCAGCCCCGCGCGCCAGTGACAACTGTGCGCCAGTGACAACTGTCCGCCCGGGGACAGGGCGTGGAAAACCTGCTCTGCAAAGTGCCAGGCCGCTCTCGAGCCTTGCAGCTCCGTGTGGTCTCTCCCGCTTGCCTTCCTCTATTTATTTTACAAGCCCCTGAGCTGGGGGGCCGCACACGGCCGGCTGTGGGTCCCAGGGGGCCCGGGCGCTGGTTCGTGACCCTCTGCCACTGTGGGCTCCTGGGCCCGGGCGGTGCCCCCGCCCCCGCCCAGCCACCAGGAACAGGCAACCTCGCAACGCCACGTCTCACTATCTGCACAAAATGGGCACGCTCTCCTCCCAGAGGCCCTGGCAGCGGGGGCGGCCCCCACGCCGTGCCGCGCTGCCCGCAGGCGAGTCTCCCAGGTGTCCGCAGGAGACGCATTGTCACTCACTCGGGGAGCTCTCCGGGCATGTCCCCCACACACCTAGACAGCATGGCCTTTCCTCTGAGCAAACAGAAGAGCTGCCCCTTCCTGTATTCCCACCGTGGACACAGCCCCCTGACCCTTACGTTTACTGACAGCGAGGGAGCTCCAAGCAAACACTAGTCTGAAACACCGACCGGATAGGCCGCCCTCGCGCCCGGCACCTGCCAGCCCGGCCGGGACCCAGCCCCGCCCCCACCCACGCCTCCCAGGGACACGCAGCCCCGCCAGCCCCGCCAGCCCCGCCAGCCCCACCTGTAGGTGACCCACTCCGAGTTGTCCTCGGGGTTCTGGAGCGCGTAGCCGGCCGCGTGCTGGCTCAAGTCCTCGGGGGGGTTGGGGCGGTCGTTCAGCTGCACACCCTCCAACCGCAGCAAGTGGACAGTGGCCTGCAGAGCGAGTGTGGACGGCAGAGGTCACGGGGGCACCCCAGCGCCAAGCACAATTCAGGAACTATTTCTAACGCAAGTTTACAGCAACACACATCGCATCTTGATTTCTACTTTTCTCCCAGCAAATCCCCCGGGTGCCCGCGGCCACCGCAGAGGACCGAGGGGCCGCCCGGGGACCGCGCCCCCTCCGACCAGCGCCCGGGACGCACCTCGGCGCTGATGAAGCCCACCTCCGCGAACTTCCGCAGCAGGCTCGGCGACGCCGGCCTCTGCAGCAGGACCTGGGACTGGCCCCTGGAGTCATACCCGCCGCTGTCCCCGCCCCGCTTCTTCCTTCCTGGGGGGACAGCGGGGCCTCAGACGCGGCCTCGGGCGGCAAGGCAGGCCCCCCCCCCGCCCGCCGTGACCTCGGTGCCCCCACTCAAAACAGGCCCCTCCCCTTATCTCAGCCCCCGACGACCCCCAAGGGACTGGGAAGGGCAGACGAGGTGGCGCCACAGGCACCGGACGCACAGAGCTCGGGGCCCCCAGGACTCCGGTCCCCGCCCGCGGACGCCTCCCTCGCTTCCGGACCGCACCGGGCCTCGCGGGCACGCACCTCTCCTCTGCCGCGACAGCTTCTTCACCTTGGCGCTGTCGTACAGCAGGCAGAAGCGGCAGGCGGCCCGGCAGACGTCCCACACGCCCTGCTTCCGCGCGACTTTGGCGAGCTCCGCCCAGATCCGCACCCTGCTCACCCGAGGCCCGGAGAGGAAGCGTGGGCTCGGACGTGGCGCCGGGGCCGCGAGACCAGCTCGCTCGCAGCCGGGGCGCGGGCGGCGGGGCGGCCCTCTGGTCCCGCGTCCACGGTGCCGACTGAGAAGCGCCCGCACGCGTCCTTCCCCTGGGACACGCCTCCCTGCGCCCCCAAACGGGCGGCTCCTGCGGCTGCGCTGACCGCACGCACCGCCGGCCGCGGGCCGTCCACGGGGCGTCCGCGGCGTCCGCACGGTGTCCCCTGAGTGCGAGCGCCCTGCCCCCCGGCCCGGGGCTGCCCGTGCCCGGGGCGGTGGGCGTCCCCCGCAGCTGTGTGCCTCCTGCCGCGGCCTCTGGGGCGCGCGCCCCTGCGACCCCGCACGTGGGGGCGGCGTCACCCCAGCCGCTGCCGCCGGATGTCGCCGGGGTCGCCGCTCCCCGGGGCGGCAGCGCGGAGTGGGGGGCGGGGGGGCGTGGCCAAGGCCGCCTCCCCGGCTGGGGGCGTGGCCGCGCGGAAGCCCGCCCCCCGCGGCCCGCTCACCTCTCCTTGTAGTTCTCGCTCCCCAGGCGCCACAGGTGCCCGGTGGCTTTGTCCACGCTGACGGTGTGGTGCCGGGCCCTGGCGAAGAGCGGGGTGAAACGGCTCTTGCTCTTCCCGGTGGAAACTGAGGGAGGCAAACGGGGCGGACGTCACGCAAGGGGTCCCTCCGTTCACGGGATGATCGGTGTCGTCCGGGCGCAGCCCCACGTCACGGCAGCCCCAGGGCCCCGGACTCGGACGCAGCGGAGAGGGCCCTCCCTGGGGCGTTGCTGTCTTTGGGCGGGAGCCCGGCCGAGCCACCTGCCACTCCGCCCTGTGGCGGCGCCGCCCGGCCGCCCACCCGCCCGGGCCCGTGGGTTGGCTCTCCCTCGTGTCGCCCCCGCTCGCAGGGCTGGGCGTTTGGTGGGCTCCCTGCTGGAGGCCCCTCCTCCTGGCCCGGAGCACAAACTCGGAGACCCCAGCGCGACGCCGGGCGCCCGCGGGCCGCCCCGCACAGCTGCCCTGGGCCCGGCCGAGAGGCGCCCACCGTCCGGGGCCGCCCTGGGCGGGGCGGGGCTGCCCCCCCAGGGGGGGAGGCCGCTCCCGCCGGACTGTCCACACGGACGCGCCGAGCAACCTGGCCCGTCCTGCGCCTCGGGTGCCGCTGTGGGTGGGAGCTGCCCCCAAAGCTCTGATGAGGCTGAACCCCAGCCTCAGAGTGTGACCCCACTTTGAGACAGGGTCCTCCCTGGATGACGGAGAGACAATGTGGTCACGAGTGTGGGCCCTCGTCCACTGTGAGACCTTAAAGGGAGACCCAGACACAGACACGGGTGTCGAGGGAGACGGTGTGAAGACGCAGCCAAGGCGAGGGCCTCGCCGCCCCGAGGAGCTGGCCGCTGGCCTCCGGCCTCCGGCCGAGCGGGGGCTCCGCGTGTGAGCAGCCCTCTGGGCGCCGTCCTGCGGCTGCAGCTGCCGGGCAGGCGCCTCCGAGGCCACAGGCCAGACGCCAGGGCCCGTGTGACAGGTCAAGGGCGGCCGGGTCCCAACCTGCCCGGGGGCCCGGGTGGCCCCCAGGAAGGGCAGGCCGGGCTCCCCTCACAAAGCGGGGGGGTCGGGCGCCCACCCTTGGCCTCATTCTCGCTGTCGAGCACGATCTGGAAGGCGTCGGGGGCCAGCGCCAGGCCTGCGTTCACCAGGAGGGCCCGCTTCTTCCGGACGTTGTCCTTGGGGATGGCTTTCTTGGCCTGCGAGAGGAAGGGACGGGCGGGCCCGGTCCTTCCCAGCACTCGTGGGCTCTGAGGAGTTCCCAGGCGGCCCCGGGGGCCCCGAGAAGGCACCTGCTCGATGGCCATGACGGCCTTGTCCTCGGCGCGCTCGGGGTTCTGGTACAGCAGGGAGCAGAGGTGCAGCCGGCCGAAGGCCACCCGGAGCCTTTCCTGGTACAGGCCCTGGCTGTCCAGCAGCATGGCCTTCTGCAGGTGCTCCATGGCAGGCTCCAGCCGGTCCTCGTCCTCCTCGATGTGGGCCAGCTCCATGTGCACTTGGCAGCGGAGCAGGACCATGAGGCTGCGGGCACAGTGCGGCGTCAGAGCCCAGGGCACAGTGCGGGGGGGCCCCAGGGGTCGCGGCTTTCCTGCTCCCTGCAGGCCCCGCCCCGCCCTGAGGACTCCCTCGGGGGACAGAGGCAGGAGGTCCCCGCAGGGTGAGGCCTCGGCCCCACCGACCGAGAAGCAGCGGCTCAGCAAACCGAGCCCCCTGCCCGGGGAGCTGCGGGGAGCGGCACGTGGCGCTGGGGCTCCCCCTCGTGCCCTGGCACCATCGCCCATCCCTCTGACGGCGGCGCCCAGCGATGCCGAGGAGCAGCCCCGGCCTCTCCAGCCAGGGAGCCCAGCAGGGCGCGAGTCCTTGGCACCTGCGTGCCCACACCCGCTCGGCCCCGCCTCCTGCACCCGGCCCCCGGTGCCCGGCTGGGCCCCGCCCCTCCACTCCGCCCATCACCTGTCGCCTTTGCCCACAGGCCGTTCTCTGCGGTGGCAGGGCCCTCACTGGACGCCTGAAGCCCCCTCCCCTGCCTCAGCTCTCAGACCCCCCGCACTAGGAGACCGCGCGGCCCCAGGGCCCTGACGAGCTCTGGGCCCGGCCGTCAGGGGGCTCTGCTCCCAGGCCTCCTTCCTCCCCAGGGCCCTCCCCGCTGTCTGGTCTCCGATGAGGTCAGTTTCTCAGTGGCTCGGAGGCCGACAGGAACCACCCTGCCACCAGCTGCATCCTGCAAGGTCTCATCCCCACCCCCGGCTACGAGACTCTTCTTAGCACTTAGCTGGCCTGCGAACGTGTGGTGCGCGGTGGGTGCAGGAGTCCATGTGGACATGGGTGTGCCTAAGTGTAAGTAAGGGCACTGGGGCAGGGGCAGGTGCGGATGCAGGTGGGTACAGGTGTCAACAGGGTGTAGGCGCAGGCACAGACTCAGGTGCAGGTGCAAGTGCGGATGCAGGTAGGTACAGGTGTAGACAGTGCAGATGCAGGTACAGACGCAGGTGCAGGTGCAGATGCAGACTCAGGTGCATGCATGCAGGGCTGTGCTTCGGCCACCACCCTGCGCTGCGCGGCTCTCCAGAGACTGACGCTCAGCCCGTGTGATGAACGACTCAACCCCGAGGGCAGAGGCACACGGTCCTGAGCGTCACGCTGCCCAGCGAACCCCGCGCCCGCCCTGACCGGCGCGCATTCGGGACCCCAGGTGGGTGCACCCTGGCTCGTGGCCAACCCTGGGCCACGGGGGCCTGCGGCAGGTCCCGCCTCTGGAGCTCGTGGAGCGCAGGGGACGCTGTGCCGGCTCGGGCTTTCAAGGCCTGACCTGAATCCAGTCACCTGCCTGTCGCTGAGGGCTTTCAGGCCCGGCTGGCCCTCGGCCGGCGCGAGCAGGGGGCGAGGGCGGCCTGACCCTGCTCAGGGCAAGCGGACGGCCTTACCCCTCCGCAGCCCCTGCTGCCTTCTTTACGGACAGGCGCGTGGCCCTGCCTGCGGCACTTCTGGGGGAAACGAGGCGGAGTCTCCCTGTCCCCGGTACGAGGGCTCCCGCCCTCTCCCGCCACGGGTCGCCTTTCTGAGCCGGCAGCCCAGGGCGCGGACGCAGGCGAGACCTGTCCAGCTTCTCCAGGGTCTCCGCGATGCCGGTCAGCGGCTTCCGCAGGTGGTGCCGCAGGTTGTGCTGCAGGAGCGGGAGGCACAGGTTCCACTGGGCGGCGCACACCACGTGGGCGGCGTGGGGGTCGCCCAGGCAGACGGCTCGCTGCAGCGTGCCGTCCAGCCTCTGCACGATGCTCAGCTGGGCCTGCAGAGAAGACGGCGGCCAGCATGGGAGCTCGGACGGCGCGTGCCGGGCACCTGCCTCCAGGAGACCCCAAGCCGGGGGAGCTCGGGGGCCGGGAGGCCGCGAGCGGGCGGAGCCCGGGGTCAGAGCATCCGAGGCCCTGGGAGGACCGCTCGCCTCAGAGGCGCTTCCATGCGTCCCGTGGGCGGCCGTGCCCCCCGTGGGCCACCTCCAGTCTGCTCGCCTCCGGTCCTGCCCGTTTATGGGGGCTTGTGCCCTCTCGTGTGTGCCACCCAAAGGCCACGGCCTTGGTCTGTGCCACCTGCGCTCAGCCCAGCACACAGGTCTGGCCGCGGCCTTCCGGACCTGCGGACAGGCCTCCCCGCCCCACCCTCTGCCAGGGTCCTCAGGGCCCCCTCACGCGGCTCCTGAGCCACGGGGCCAGCCCAGCTCAGCACTCCCGGCCCCATGCCGCCTGGCGCCGGGGCGGGTCCTCAAAGCCCCGCAAGCCGATCGGCCCCTGGTCCCTGGCCCTCGGCAGCGGGAGGGAGTGGCCACGGGTGGCCCGTGCAGCCCGGCGCCGCGGCACAGCCGCCGCGGCTGTGGTTCCGTGATCCAGCGGCATCTCCCCTGTGCCCCCCGGGCGCCAGGCACCGGTGCGGGGCCGTCCTCAAGCAGCCACGCCCCTCTTGGGAAGGCCAGCGCAAGCGGGCACCTTCGTCGCCGCCCGGCGGACACGCGTGCTCCTTTTGGGCTCGTTCATGTGGATGCCCCCCCAGCCACCCCGGGGTCCCCACCTGCCTCGTCCCTGCAATGACCTCACCACACCCCAGAGCCCCTCGGGTGTCTGGGCCCAAGGAGCCGATGGCCCTGCACTGGGGCTGGGGGTGACCTTTGTCTACCCAGACAGGGGTCAGGATGGGGACGCAATGGCCTTCACCAAGGGCGCGGGTTATCAGCGGGGATGGGGGTGGGGCCCTAGGAGGGCCCGGCCAGGGACGGTCTCTCCCCAGCCCCTCGCCCACCGGGCCCAGGGGCCCCGGGAGCCACAGGGGACTCTGCGTGGAGCGTAGAGACGCCTGGCCCGGGTGCCGCCCGGGCCCCCCCAGCTCCTGCCAGAGGGGCCACATTCACGCCCGGCGCACGAGCCAGGGGCCCCGCCAGGCCCCCGGCGCCCTCCCGCGCGCCCGGACTCGGCCCCCCGGCCGCGGGAAGGCCACACGCACGCAGCCGGCTCCCGCGCACCCCGCCCAGGCGTCACCTCCACAGCCGTTCGGACGTAGGTTTTGATTTTACTCTCCAGTCTCAGCGCTTCCAGCTGACACTCCAGGCACTCGATTTCAATGAGCCTCCCGGGGTCCTGCAGAGCCCAGACACGAAGACCGTCAGCGCGGCCGAGCCGCCGCCAACCCCGAAGGCATTTCAGGTGGTAATTCACGCACTAGGCAGAAATTCGACAAGTAAAATTCCCAACAGAAAAAGTATTTAAACACTGAAAATGCTTCCAAAACATGCACGGATTTGAGAAAAGTAAAAAAAAAAAAAAAAAAAAAAAAGGATCTCCTTAACAGAGAGAAAATAGAGTTCATGTCACTGGATGTTGAATTTCAAAACAAACTCTGCTCTGAGCTTTGGCAGCCGGTCCTGGGCGACTTGCTCCCCGCGGGTCAGGGTGAGCGTCTGCAGGGGGCGGGGGGTGCGGGGCGGGCGGCTCCACCGCCTGCCCACCTGCCGCAGCGTGTTCCAAGGGCTGTGCCGCCGCGCCCCGCCCGGGCACACGAGTCCGTTGCCCCGCCAGCCACGGCCAGGCGGGACGTCGTCGCTGTGGGGCGACCCGCACAGAGGCCGCTGCCTGGCACCCAGCACGGGGCCGTTTACGCCCCATGCGCCCCGAGGTGCCTCTGGGTGGGTCCTGGGCGGCTGCTGGAGGGGTCAGTCCCTGAGGGGGGGGCAGGCAGCGGTCAGAGGCCGGCCCCTTTCAGCCTGGACGGCGCTCCCGCGGCAGGAGGCGCCTCCGTGGAAATCCCGACAGCTGCCGGCCGGGCAAGCGCGCACACGGGAGGGCGGCACCCCGACGCCCCGGGACCCCGCTGCGCACGGGCCCTCCCAGGCCTCCACAGACGGCGCCCCCCGGCTGTTCCTCCTTGTCCTTTGTCCTTTATGACACGATAAACCAGCAAAGGTGCTTCTCCTGCAAATGAATCCAACCTGAGGAGGGGCCGTGGGAAGCCCCCACTTGGTGCCGCGTCCGACAGAAGCTGGGCGGCCTGGGACCGCTGACGTGGACTCTGCGCCTGGGTGGAGCGGTCCCGGGCACTGAGCCCCCCAGGGAGCCAGCGTCGGAGCCGAGTTCAACCGCAGGACGCCGGCTGGGGTTGCGGAATTCCTGGGTGAGAGGCAGCGACGTGTTCTGTGTGGAAACAGCGGCGGCGGCGCACAGGAGGCGGCCCTGGCTCGCCCGATCCGGCGGCGGCCGTTGCGGCCCCTCCCCCCCGGCCAGCGCCTGGTCTCTCCCGACGTCCACGCGTCTGCTCAGACCTCCTGTGTTGCCTCAGGCCGTGGGAGTTCCGGGGGGCTTAGGGTTCTCGGCGTGTTCTGGGCACAGGCCGCTCATCAGATGTGAGACTTGAAAAAACCTCTCGGCCTCTGGCTTGTATTTTCGCGTTCTTCCCAGGGCTGCTCGAAGGGCAGAGAGCTCACGGCCACGAAGCCGAATTCACCCCCTGCAGCGGGCCCGGCCCCCGGAATGAGCCGCCGCGGCGCCTCACACCAACAGCAGGCAGCCCTGCGGCGGCGCCCGGCCGGCTCCTGCCTGTGAGGGGCAACCCTGGGGTGCGCACCGACGAACCCCAAAGCGGGAACCCCTGGCATTACGACGTCACGGCCACACGCCCAGGGGAAACCCGAGGGACGTGGACGCCGTGTGTGCTGCGGCCCTCACGCCCTGGGCAGCCAGGAGCAGGGCTTCCCCGTCCAGCAGCAGGGCTGGCGAGGCAGCTGTGGCCGCGAAGACCGGCGCCTCCGACGACCAGAGAACGGAAGGGGGCGGCGTGCGTGCTCACCCCTCCCTGCGGAAGACGCTCGGGGAAGGCGGGGGACACGGGCCTCCCGGGGGTTCCAAGCCGCGGTCTTCCCGCCTTGTCACGTCCGAGCAGCCGCTGGCCCCTCACCTTGCTGTCCATGTTCTTCAAGTCCGAGAGGCAGCTGGAGCAGATGCCCTCACACTTCAAGGTCAGAGAAAGACCAGCGAGTTCAAGGAGCAAAAGGGTTCTGAAAACCAAGCAGAGTCGCGGGGCGTCCGTCGGCGGGGGCGCTGGGCGGGGAGCGAGGACAGAGCGCAGAGCCCGGGCCGCGTGGCCCCGCCGGTCGGAGCGCCATCCCGGCAGCCAAGGCCGGGGGCCGACCCCCGGTCAGGGCGCAGGCGAGGACCAACCAGTGACGGCGCCAGAAAGCGGGACAGTGAACCGATGCCTGCCTGTCTCTCCCTTCCTCTCTCTCTCTCTGAAATCAATCAATCAGTAAATTTTAAAAAGAGCAGCACACAGTGGCTTCTCCTGTGCTAGCCACTGTCCCTCCCTGGCTGGGACAAGCAAGCTGCCACCTGGAGAGGCCCCCCGGGCCGCCCACAGGTGCTGGACGCTGCCAGCCGCCGCCCGAGCCTGGCGCGGGGCTGCCACGGCCGAGCCCTGCGGACGTGGTGAGGTGACCGCAGCAGCAGGCAGCAGGCCCCAGCGGGGTTTTCGGTGCCGCTGCGACACATGCCCAGGGACTAGGCCTGAAACACCAGGAAGTCAGCCTCTCGGTTCTGGAGGCCGGGAGACCGAAACCGAGGGGTCGCGGGGCGGCCCCTCTGAAGGTGCCGGGAGGAAGCGCGGACCAGCCGGAGCCCCCCACACCCCCGGCGGCACCTCCGTCCTCGTGCGCTCTCCTCCCCTGAGGGCGTCCCTGTGTCTGAGATGCCCCTTCTCGCGAGAACGAAAGTCAGCAGGTCAGGGCCCAGCCTGCCTCAGGGCAGCCCCCTTCTGCCTCGACCACATCCACAAAGACCTACGTCCAAAGGGGACAGCGAGCACTGGGACCTGACCCCGCCCTTTGGGGACACACAGTTCAGGCCACGACACCCCAAATCCACCATCAAATGACACACTGACAATATCCCGAAGCCGTTGTTGCAGGCGGATGGCCGAAACGCTGCCTGCATCAGGAGCGCGGAGGAGCCGGCCGTCACCGGGACCCGAGAGGCGAGTTCTCAGGTGGACGCCCAGAGGCCCAGGCGGGCAGGGCGCGGCTCCCCGGGGCGGCCAGCGGCACCTGACAGAGCGCGACGTGGCCATGTCAGCCAGGGGCCAGCTGTCGGTCCCCACCCCATTCTTGCAGACAAACTCTGGACAGTGGGACGTCCCCGAGCTGGGAGGCCGGCCTGTGGCCTCGCGGGAACGCCCCGGGGGGCGCCCAGGCTGCTGCTGCAGCTCTGGCTCCACTTCCCGCTCCCAGGAAACCCGGCCAGGACCACCCTACACTCTGAGCAGGCTCGGGGGATTCCGGCACCAGGACCGCACAGGACCGAGAAGTTAACGGGCCCCGGGCGGGGGCGGGGGCAAGACGCTCCTGTCTTCCACGCTCAGGAAGGTGGGAGGTCTGGTAAGAACTTGAAAAGTTCTTCTGCCAGAGTGAAATTTGATTTTCAAAAGTTACGTGTCCCAAGGGCTCCCTGAACAGCACAGACCTCAGGCGGAAGGGACGAGAGGATATCACCAGACGTGCACGTGGCCAGCACGCGGTGGGCAGTTTGGTGCTTTTCCAACTTTTCCCTTCCCCCGAACCTACCAAATTTTGCACCGTCCTATGTAGCTACGAAACTGGGAAAAGGCAAACACTTACTTTTCCTCCATGATCGAAGGGGAGCGTTGGTGACTGTAATAACCTAACTGTTTATAGATGCCCTTCAGAATTTTGTTGACGTCTTCAGGTAAATCATTCCTATCCAATTTCCTGGAATTAATCCAAACATTAGACAACCCAACTCCTGTCAGGTTTCTCCAAATTACCCCCAAATCCTCTGCGTCTGTGAAGCGCTGTTTCCCGCTGGACAGAGACCTCGAATGAACCGCCTCCGCCGGCCCCAGGCTCTGCCGGACGGCTCCTCCCACACCGTGGCCGCCCTCGCTCCCAGCCCTGGCGCCCGGCCCACGTCCCCGAGGTTGGACGCACCCAGGCCCCTGGGCACCAGCCCCGCCAGACGGCCGCACACGCAGGGCCTGGCCGTGGGGCGCAGTCCCTGCCCCGCCCCCGGCCGCCTCCAGCGCGGCTTCGCCCTCAAGCTGCTCCAGTTTCACGCTGTTCCATGGCCAAGCCTCAAACCCCCTCTGGGACAGGAGCCTCGTGGCCGCTCCACCCCGGGGCGCAGCCCTGCCCCTCGCAGACAGAGGGCACAGGGGAGCCTCCTGCCCCCCCAGCACTTACCCTTGTAGCAGGTTCATGTGGAACGTGGCCGAAAGGCTGACAGAGGCTCTCTTTTCTTCCTTCAGCCGAAGCTCGTCCATCAGCTCATGTCGCACCTGTCACCAGATGGGACGGGACAGCGACTCAGGCCTCAGGAGTCACCAGGCAGAAATCCAGACGCTGCGTGGAGCTGTCCCTTGGCAAATATCCCTCCCTGAACGCTAATTTCAGAATTAACAAGTCTCTTTTCATTAGTTACGTACAGTATTTAGCTTCTCACATAGAGCTCGCTTTCCTATACACAAAACGTAACGAGTTATGAACGCTCTCCGTACGCATTGTTACTGTAACACCTTTATCTTTACAAACTGCCGGGTGTTTTTGAAGCTTGGGCTCTGCCCCGCCTGTCGGCACATCTCCGGCGCCGCGGCCGGTGGGCCTGCGGCGGCTTTCACAGCTTCCTGACACTGCCTCCTCACACCGACGTCGAACAAGACCATGTCTCTGCGCCCCCCCCCCCCCACGTTTCGCCGGCCAACCCACCATGACAGCAAACATCTGCCGGTATCTGTGCGGTGCGTGGGCCTTCACGAAGGGCGCGGCCGTGGCGCAGAGCGTCCGGGCCTCCTCCTTTCTCCCCGCCTGCAGGCAACACTCCAGGAGCTCCCTGCGCCGCACAGACACGGAGAGGAGCCTGTGGCGACACCGCTGTCCGGGGCGCAGTCTGAGCGGCAGGCGCCTGCCGTCCCCTCGCTTCCATTTCTCGGACTCCACTCCCGGCCCCTGGCCCCCGGCCCCCAGCCCAGGGAGGGGGCGCAGCCGGGCCGGGGGCCGGGCCGCCCGCAGCACCGTCACGGGGGCACTTGGGAAGGTCACATTCCTGGGTCAGAGGCCCCCCACCCAAGGGCCAGAGCAGGAGAGGAAGCCTGCAGCCGGTGTTCCAGCCTCGGGGCACACCCGCTGGGTCCCACGGGTGCCCCGCCTGCAGGAGCGGGCCACCCGGCCTCTCCGCTCCCCAGCACGAGGGCCGCTGGCCGACACCACTCACGGTGGCTTCTCGGGCCGTCCCCGGGGCCACGGGCTCCGCGTGCCCTTCCCGCTCTGGCTGAGCTTTGCGCTAAAACGCCTACTATGTTCCCAGTTGACTGAACTAAGTTTTTAAAACTGTGAGCCAGGACTACGGCTCACGCTCAGGTTTCCTGGGTTTTGAGTCAAAACACGCGTCCTGTTGGGACCCCCACGGGATGTCACCTGCAGTTCGGACGACGCACACAAAACCACGCTCGGCGGCTGCGCTGGGGCGCTGCCCTGCGCCTGCTCGGTGGACAGCTGCCCGCGGGGAGGGCATGGGGGTGGGGCTGTGGGCGCGAGGGCGGGCGGGACACCGCCACTCACAGCATCAGCTCTGCCTGCCAGTCCTTGTCCTCGTCCTCGGTCTGACTCAGCACGCTCACGATCTGGGAGAGGCTGGAGATCAGGTGGTGGTGATACCCAGGCCTGAGGAAGGGCCTGGCCATTCGCCAGTGGAGGACGGACGCATTATAGACCAGGAAGTGGTACCTGCGCAGAGGAGGGGGCGGAGGGCTGAGGCGGGGGCAGAGGCACAGCGCGACCCGGCCTCTGGGGGAAGGCAGCCCGGCAGCCTCTGTCCCCAGCAGGTGGCAGCAGTCCCATCGGAGACACACGGCCCTCCCTGCCCAGGCAGTGCCGCCCTCCAGCTCGGCCCTGCCAGACTCCTGGTGACAGACGAGAGGTCTCCTCACGCATTCCGTCGCTCTACGCCGTGACCAGCTCCCCATGAAAATATACCCCTGAGCAAGCCCTCCTTTGGCTTCCAAGGGATAGACAAGAACAGGCAAGAGCAGGGGCAACCAAGACAGGCTTCTTGGAGGAGGTGACATCCTGCTGAGACCCAAAAAGTGACCAGGAATCTGCCAGGGGCGCAGTGCCGAAGAAGAGGCTCAGGCAGGTGGGAGAGGGAGAGCAGGGCCTTCAGCGGCCGGCTCCGGGCCGGCCCAGCAAACGCACAAGAGGGAACCGGAGGCCCGGACGCAGGGAGCAGGCAGACAGACAGCGCCCAGCAGGGTGGGGGAGGGGGACGTGGTGGACAGAGGGGAAGGGACCAGTCAAAGGACAGGGATGAATGAGCCACGGACACGGACAGCGGAGTGGGCGCTGACTGTGGGGTGGGCTGGGCGGAGGAGGGCACAGGGGAAAACCTGGGACACCTGTAATAAAATTAATACTTTTTTTAAAAAAAAGGCATGCAAAGTGTGGGGGGTTAGGACACCCCTAGGAAGCCCGGCTGCGTCCTGCAGGCTGCAGGGAGGCCAGGTGGGAATCCCAGGGGCCAATTTGCTCTCTCCCTGCAGGCCCCCCCATCCGGAGGGCTCTGCCCGCAGGGGCCTGGGAGCCCGGCAGCCGTCCCCGCTGGCCCTCCGGTGGACGAGCGATGCTAATCAGCGCCATTACCCAGGGAGGAGGACCCAGGGCGCTGGCAGTAAGACAAGGCTGCCGGATCCTTTGCGGGTTTACGCAGAGCCCCGCGCCTCCGCCTGGCTGCACCCAGGCCTGTTTTAAAGGTGGTCCTGCCAGCCCCCGAGGCCCCCGGTCCCCGGTCAGGCATCGTGCAGGTGTCCCCGACCCCTGGCGTGCAGCCGTGACTGGGCCCTCCCCGACGATGCCTACCGCCCCAGCGCCGGCCATGGCTGCAGGGCATGGCCCCTGGAAACGCCCACTGTCCTTGGAACGTCTAGCTGGAGGCCACTGGGCTTCCCTGCAGGCAGGGCCCGCTGCGGGGGGCCGGGGGCCGGGGGGGGGGGGGCCCTGCACCCCAGCACCTGTCACAGGGGCCACGAATGCCTGGTAGTGGGGCCACGAGGGAGCGAACCCAGGGTCATGCTGGGATCTCCTTTAGGTGTGTCCTGCCTAGCCTGCTGTGTGCAAGCTTAACACTCTCCGCAACATTTGTTTTCGATGAAGCACAAGCGTTAATGAGGCAGAAAACTGCGCTGGGTCTCAGCCGAATCACTTTCCAGAGAGAAGGCCCTGGCCGGGGGGAGCCAGGAAGGACAGGCCCGTGGGCGCAGCACAGCGAGGGAGCCGGGATGCTGAACTCCCGAGGGGCTGGGACCGATGAAGGGAGGAAGCTGGTAGTCGCCTGCCGGCCCGGGCCACCGCCGGCCAGAACAGACGGGACAGCGGTGGGAGGCACCCGCCGCCCCCCGCCCGCCCGCCCGCCCGCCCGCGCAGCCCAGCTCCACAGGAGAGACGCGCGACGCCGACGCGCATTAAACACGGAGCAGGGGCGCCCCCTGCCGTCCGAGCGGAGACCGCTCAGCCGGCTCCGCGCCGAACCTCGGACACCGCGGGCGAGAAGGGCAGGCCCGCCGCCTACCTGGGCTCCCCTTTGGCGAAGTTAATCGCCTTCATGTACTGAGTCACACAGTTTTCAAACTCCTCCTGCAACATAAAGGACGCACAACGCAATCCCACTGGCCACTGACCCACCGGGCCTCGCTCATGGTCACGCCGCGCACGCCAGGCCCGCCAGAGCCGGGCGGCCGCTCAGGGCCTGGCGGGAGTGGACGAGCAGGGGCTGCTGCTGCGTGGGCTCTGGGGCAGCCCGGCCTCCGCCCCGCAGGTCCCCTCTGGGTCGGGGTAGGGTGGGAGGTGCTGCTGGGGGCGCGGCCATGACACCAGAGGCACAGGCCACGTGTCCAACGGGGGTGCAAGTCAGACCCCAGTGCTCAGGGAACGCAACCCGCGGTGAAAAACGCTCCAAGACTCGTGTGGCCAAACCCAGCTCTGGAAGGCGGGTGAGACAGGAGCTGCCGCGACGTCGAGGGGCGTCAGGCAGCCTCGGGGGCTAGAACAGCGGGGCGGACGCCGCCGCCGCGCGTTCGGAGGGCGAACGCCCCCTCTCGAGGCGGTGCTGAGGCGGGGCCCGGGGGCGGGGCTCATGGGAACCAGGGCGAAGCCGCGGGCGGGGCCTCGGCGCCGGCGCTCACCAGGTCGTCCGTGGACTTGGGGGGGCAGAGCTGAGCCCTGCACAGGTGCGCGCGGCCCAGGAACTGCGTGACCGGGCCCTTCACTTTGAAGTACATCTGGATGCAGTCCTCGCTCACCGCCGGCTGCCCCATCTGCGGAGAGCGCCGCCCGTCGCTGCGTCCCTCCGCGGACACGCAGACCGGGCGCGCCCGGGGACGCGCGGAAGACGAGGGCCCCGGCAGTGCCCCCCTTAGGCCCCCCCGTCCCCCGCCGCTTCGGCGGAACCCCAGCCCGGGCTCGGGACCGCGACCTTCAGGGCCTGCTCCGCGCACAGCACGAACAGGTCGGGACTGAAGCTCTCGCTGGGGTCGAACTCCGACTTGCCCAGGTTGGCGGACTTGATGAGCTCGTAAGCCCTCTTCAAGGCGGCGGCATCTGCCGGGACAGCCGGCGAGGAGGCCGGTGAGCCCGGCAGCCGCGGGGGGCAGTGCAGGCGGTCGGCAGGGGCCCGGGTCAGGCCGGCGGCCCCGGGATGCGCCCCCGGGAGGCCGCCCGACCGGGTCGCCCCCCGCGACCGGACGCTCCCGTCACGCCCCCTGCCCCAGCAGCGCTCAGGGCAGCCCCCCGGCCGCCGCCCCGGCCCCACACGCCGCGGGTCAGGCGTCTCTCGGCGCCCCGGCCCCGCGCACCCTGCTGGCTCTCGGCGCGGGCCAGCTCCTGCGTGATGGCCAGGTCCATGGTGCCGCAGCCCAACCGCTCGTCTATCCCGCTCCGCGGCCGTTGCCTGGCGACAGGGGACGCGAACTGCCGCTACGGGTCGGCAGCTGAGCCATACTTATCCGGAAGCGAAGCCCCCCGAGCCCGGCACGGGGTCTCTGCAACTCTGCGAAGGTGGCCCGGCTCCGCGCAGCCGAGGCAGAGACGAGAGGGCGAACGAGGCGCCGACATGGCACCTGCCGCTCTCTGATGCCAAGGTAGCTCTACAGGAATCAACAAGTTAAACAGAAAAGAAAAGGAGACCAAGACGTTCCCAGAGATGGCAGCGATCATAAAATCCTTGGCCTGGGATTGGGTACGTGTGACCCAGCGCCCGCAGACTATGAAAGCAAGACCAATGGCAACCCATAAAAACTCTAAATGTGAAGATCGCCTCGAGTGGCCGTCGCAGAGGACTGAGCTCCCCGCAACCCCGCAGGCCTGCGGGTGGTGCTTGAGCACCGGGCACGAGCGCGCAGGCTGCGCTTAGCCTGACGATCTCCTAGTGAGGAGGCCGTGGCCCGATGCACAGGCCGGCGCCCTCCATCTGCCGGTGTGGGCAGGGACAAAGGTTTGACGGACACTGGTTTGGGGAGGCAGCGGAAAACGGGAAGTCACATGCTTTGGAGGGAAGAATAGCCTGGCTCCCCCTAGAGGGGGGCCGCTTGGAAACCCCCGTGCACACTCCCTGGGCCCAGAGTCCGCCCCCCAACTGCTGCCAGGCTCAGGGCGAGCAAGATGGATTCCCTGCCTCTCTGACCTGCAATCTGGCCCGCCTGGGGACCCCGGCAGCAGCTCCGGGGGGCTGTGGTCAGGGATGACATCAAAGTGCCCCTGGGATCCAGGACCTGGGGGCCGGAGGGGCACCAGGGAAGGCCGACCTGTCAGAGCAATGCTCTGACCCTGCTCCCCAAGAGCCGCTGGCCGCAGGCGCCGTGAGGCTGCAGCCAGCGCTGAAGCGTCCCCCCGGGGGCTGGTCCAGAGCAGACGTGTAAAGAGAAAGGCGTCATGAGCGGTGAGAAGGGAAAGGAAAAATGGCACAGAGGAAGGGAGGCCTGGCCAGTGGCCGGGGCCAGGCTGGGCCTGCTGGCCGGAGGGGACAAAACAGAGGGTGCCCACAGTGAAGGCTGGAGGCCGGGACCTGGCCACCTGCTGCCGCCCCAGGAGATAAGGCTGTCATCGTCCAAGCCACAGGCCGGGCACAGGCCCCAGGGGGTCACTGTGGGGGGGGGCGGGGCGTGGGCTCTGGAACCAGAGCCCGAAGGTCAGGCCTGGCTCCGTTAGCTCCTCACTGACCAGCCGGGGGCTGCGGAGCGCGGAGCCTGAGCTTCTCCATCTGGACGGGTAAGTCAGGGACCCATCCATGTCGGGGGCGGGGCTGCAGCACACACTGAGCTGAGTGGGGAGCCCCAGGGCGGGTGTGTGGTGGAGCTCGCCCGGCGGTGCCCGGGGGCTTGAGGGTGTTTCCGCACCCAGCCCTCCGAGCTCGCCTGTGGGGCCCTGCCAGGGAGGCCCCGGACTGCGGAGGGGCATGCTCTCTGCCTCCTTCCTGCGCCGGGCCCTGCAGCTCTGCCCCCTGAGGCGCCGCTGGCATTTTTAGCCACCTGTTCTGCCGCCGCCCGGTCCGCCAAGGGCCTCATGGGAATGCACTTCCTAGCAGCCTCTGGGCGCCGCAGGCAGCTGCTTGTTCTGTGCAAGCGCAGCCGGCAGCAGCAACGGGCTGCACCGCGATTTGCTGGATATAGAAAATTTCACAATCTACCCACCCGAGCCGGCGACTAAATGGGGCCCTCAGCCGGGATCCCCCCAGCCTCGCCCACAGACGGCGACCCAGCCGGGCGGGGCCGCGGGCCTGCCTCCCCCTGCTCGTAGTCCCGGGGGGGCCCCACACAGTCCAGAGGGACGGCCGCCCCGCTGTTCCCTGACGGCCTGGCCACGCGGGGCCTTTTGGTGGACGCCTCAGGGCCCCGCAGAGCCTGGGTCCAGCAGCGGAGCCTTGATGTGGGGACAGAGCGCTCCCCAGGGCTCCTGGTCTCTGTCATCCTTCCTCCCAGGCACAGCGGGGGCCCGGCGGTCCTGTCCTTTTTGGGCTGTGACTCCTGGGCTGCCCTGGAGCTGCCGCCCTGGCAGGGGGACAGGGATGGGGGCGCCCCGAGGGCAGCCGCACCAGCGGTGAACATCGCCACAGCCCAGACCTGCATGAGGAGGCCGAGGGGGTCGAGAAGGCAGTAGACGGCCTAGCCAGCCAACACGCCGGGAAAGAGCCCTGAGCCCCGAAATCCAGCCTGGCCCCTGTAACGGGGCGCAGCCAGCCCCAGGCTGAGGGTGTGGCTGCTGCGCCCGGTGGCCTCCCCAGCGGTGAGGAGGGTGCCGAGTCTGGGAGAGGCCGGGCTGGGCCTCCGCAGAGCCGTCTGCCTCCGTACCTGAGGCTTCTGTGATCATGAATTCAACCCACTGAGGAGTGGAAATACATATTTTTTAAAATCGAGTCGATCCCTAAACAACACAATATAACCACTACTCTCACTGCGTTAGGTGCCATCACATGACTTAGAGACGACTTATGGTAGGCGGGAGGGTGTGCGTAGGTTACACGCAAAGCCAACCACACGTATGTAAGGGGAGTGAGCCTCTGTGGGTTTGGATGTCCTCAGGGGCTGGAGCCAACCTGCCGCAGGGACTGAGGGGCGGCCGCCATCCCGGAAGAGGCGGCTGCTGGTGGGCCGACCGGGGACCGTTTGTGAGCATCCCGACCGGCAGAGCGAGCTGCGAGCGGCCCTGGGGCGCAGGAGCGCCGCTGCCAAAGCGAGACGGGCGCGTCCGGCCCCGCGGCCCGGCCCTTGGGTCCGCGGGGATCCGGCGGCCCTGGGGGCACTCTGCTTTCCAGAGGCTGGGACTTGGGTCCCGCAGGGCTTCCTGCACGGCGGCCCCATGAATGAGCGGCAGCTGGTTCTGGCCTGACCGTCCTCTCGGGGTCCCTGGAGGTCACTCGCCGTCTCGAGAGAGAGCCGCCACGTCCACGAGGGAGGGAGCATTTGGGGTTTGTGTGACCGCTCTCCGCGTTTGGTCTCCCCTGCCTCTGGGAGCCTAGGCTTCTGCGGACCCTCCGGGCAGCTCCGACGTCCGCCCTGCTCACCGGGCTGCTGCGGCGGCCCCGCCGCCCCTCCAGGGGGCTGCTGGGGGTGGGACGAGCACTCTGCTCACGCCCTGGGCACCCGGGCGCCCGCGCTGCTCCACGTGTCCTGGGTCCCAACAGCACCAGGCTCCAGGCCTGTCCTGCGGTCCCCGCTCCGTCTCCTGTCCCCACCCCGTCCTGCTCCCTGAGACCCCCTCCCAGCACACTCGACTCGCCTCAGGCCGCATCTCAGCCTGTGGCGGGGGCAGGCCCACCACCAAGCCGAGCCCCCTCTGCCCCGAGACGAGGCCACTGCCACGGGCCAACCCCGAGGCCCCCGGCCCGGGCATGAAGCACCACAGCCTGTTCTTTGGTGGGAAGGACGTGCGTGCATGCAGACGGGCTCACTCAGGCCTCGGGGTGTGCGGGCGACCGCCGGCCCGGGAAGTCTGTCTGCAGCCATGCGTCACCAAGCAGAGCCGACGGGGGGGCAGGGGCAAGGGGAGGCGCCCCCTGCTCTGGCCTCTGGGAGGTGGGGTCGCCGGCGAGGCTGGAGGGAGCTGCCACCGCTCCCGACGCCAACCAGCGGGTGTCCTGGAAATCCGGGAGTGTCCTCACAGAGGGCGGCTCTGACACTGCCGGGGGCGGACGTGGCAGGAGGCAGCAGAGACGCCAGCGTGTCTGTGCTGCAGGCGGAAACCGCGGCCTCGCGCCCGGGTCCTGGGAGCCGTGGGGAGAGGGCAGCCCTGCCGGCACGGCAGCCGTGGGCCAAGTGGGGGCGTGAGACTACGTGTGAGTGTGAGTCTGAGCGTGTGTGAGTGTGTAGTGTGTGACCACGTGTGTGAACGAGCATGCATGTGTGTAGCATGTGATCACATGTGTGACAGCATGTGTGTGAGCATGTGGGGGCTTGAGCGTGTGTGACAGGCATCTCTGCACGTGCCCTGTAGGCCAGCGAGTCCCCTCCTGGAGGGACGCCCCCCCTCGTGGAGCCGCAGCCAGAACAGAAGCCGGCTGAGCTGAGAGCATCTCCCCGGAGCGAGACCCGGACGCCGTGTCCTGGGCGGTGGCACCCCGGGCGTGAACACCTCCGTCTGGAGCTGGAGACTGAGACCACCTGCCGCCTCGACTGTAAACAAACGCCGCCCACTGTCATGCCAGGACGCCCTCCCCCCGCGGGCCCGGTGGCCTTGTTATTGCAACCTGAGGAGCCTCCTGTTATTTGCTGAACCATTCACGGAACCAGGAGACATTAAGCATTGGCCGTTTGCGTCTGTTTCATTATTTATTTGGCTCGCAACTTATTTTTCTTTGGGCAGGAGCTTCTATCTTCCCAAAGGGAGAAGAGGGCAGCGAGGGTAACAGCCCTGGTTTGAGTTATTGCAATTAAAACTTAAATAACCTCCCGCCCCACACAAAAACTGAATAAAGATGTTCACAAATGCAGGCTGACTGAAAATGAAAAACGGAAGAGCTTCCACGTTTGTTCGGTGAACGACCGTTTTGTTCCAATAACCCTCCTGAGCAGCCTCTGATTCTCATCCCTTCTGAGGCCTCCTCTCCTCTTCCCGGCGAAGGGGCACCTCGGCGCCTTCCCGGGTCCTCCCCTCCCTCTGCCCGCCCACCTCCCGACGAGCCTGGCCCCTCCCCCGTCTCAGCGGGGCGCGTCGAAGGCCCCCGCAGGAGCCGGGGCCGGGGCATCCAGGGGAGCCAGGACGCCCCTGCAGGCTCACTGCTCCCTACCCCCGAGGGCTCCCGAGAGACCTGCAGAGAAAGCCCCACGTTTCATCGGGAGAGGCGACGGGACCGGGGACCCCCGGCCCTGGTTTCCTACGGCAGCAGCGGCTGCACCATCTGCACAAACCCA